TGTGTTCTGCCACAGAGCCTCTGTTGCCAGGTCCCTCTCCCCTTTACAATTCTCTGCGAAGCTAACATCTTCATTTTCACTCTCTTTGTACCTCATCTTTACAATTCTCTGCGAAGCTTACTTCTTTATTTTCACTCTCTTCGTACCTCATCTTCCCAGTAAAGTCCTTCTCCGTCTCTGACGTCAGTGTTGTCACTGCCCTTCCGCACGCTGCCCTGTGTCATGTTTCTCCTCGGTACATCACGTCCTAACAGACCGTATTTCTCTTACTACATTGTCCAGAACGCAAATTCCGTATGTACTGGGATGTTTCTCTGTGGACTGTTGTGTACCCAGTTTCTCTTGGAAAAACAGAACTCTGGATGAAAAAAAAAACACCACAGGAGCTTGGAAACAGTGATCGTAGAAGACAGAGATTTCTAGGAGTGGGAGGGAAACTGACAGGAAGGGGTCAAGAGTAATCAGAACCTGCTGTGTACATTCACGAAAATGTCAAACAACAAATTTAATAAAAAACTAAACAGGCCGACTCATTCAGTAGCTGTTAGTTAAATGTGTGAATGAAAAGTGAATAAGCTCTTAACATTATTTTTGGGTGTGTGCATGTATGCGTGCATGTGCGTCTGTGTGTATGCACACGTGTGTGTGTGTGTGTGTGTGGTGTGTGAATATGTGTGCAGGCGCTCATGTGTGTGTGTGCGTGTGTGTGTGTGTGCGTGTATGTGTGTGCTGGTGCTCATGTGTGTGCATGTGTGTGTGAATGTGTATATGTGTGTGTGTGCTCATGTGTGTGTATATGTGTACGGGTGCTCATGTATATGTGGGTGGCCATGTATGTGTATGTATTATGTGCTGGTGCTCATGTGTGTGCATGTGTGTGTGTGAGTGTGTGTGTATGTGTGTACAGGTGCTCATGTATGTGGGGGTGCTCATGTGTGTGTATGTATGTATGTGTGTGTGTAGGTGCTCGTGTGTGTGCATGTGTGTGTGCAATAAGGGCAAAGTAGGAAAGGGGAAAGATATCAGTTTCCTGGAGCCCATGGGTAACTCTCCAATGAGGGAGGGGTTGTGACTGCACCCAGTTCACTAAGGACAAAATTCTCTGGTTTCCCTGTTTTTTCAAAGGTGGCTGTGAGGCTGGAAAGCTTAGAAGCCACCAGCAAGCGTGTCTGTTTTCCACCCAAAGCGTGACAGTCAATCGAGATTGTCCACTTGACAGGACTTAGTGTCACCATGGGAACACACCTCTGAGCGTGCGTGTGAGCGGTTTCTGAAAGATTTAACAGAGGAACATCCCGCAGGTTGGGGTCCCGGACTGGACAATTAGACAAGGGGAGTCGAGCACCAGCCTTCAATCTTTCAGCTTCCTGACTGGGGTATAATTGACCAGCTGCCTCACACAACCGTCTCAATGTCTTCCTATTATGACACACCATGCTCTTCGGCTGTGAGCCCAAATAAACTCTTAAGTTGCCTTTGTCAGGTATCTTGTTACAGCAAAGGAAGAAGTAACTAATACCCAGGAGGACAGAGTGAGAAAACATGAACAATCTGGAAAAGTCCCCTTCCCTCTGGGACCATGCAGAACAGAATTCAATACTAGAAAGGCTGATTTTATCCACTGTGGCTTCGGTTTTGCCCTGGGATTGTTTATGGGAATTCTTAGAAAGATAAAGCCACCAGCTGGGGTCAGGAATGAGACGAGGGCGTCCTTGGCTGCTGACAGTAGCCTGGAATCCATCTGCAGCGTGACAGGGTGAGCAGGGTTTTATGGAAAGCCAACTGCAATGTTTACAGAGAGCACTGAACAGAAACCACTACTGACCGAAGGAGGTGACTAATGGATCCGGTAGGAACACACAGAAAGAAACCCTCAGAAGACAAAAAAGAAATTTTGTGGCTATTTCAATCGCTTGCACACCAATAAGAAACATTCTTCTATATAATAAAAACCACACTAAACAATCAACCACCAACTACAAAACAACAACAAACCCCTCCAAAACAACAGCAAAAAGCTAAATAGATACCATGCAATAACTTTGGAATACAAACCCAGAAGGTCTTGTCAAAATCATGTTGGGTTGAAAAATCTTGTTGAAATAATCTAGCAGGATGGTTATAAAATCTTATATCAGACATGCAGTGTAGGAGTGAACCCCACAAAGCTATCCGCCCATGAGGGCAGGGACATGTAAACTGACACAGGTAGATATAAAAGGAAGTGAAAGGAAAAGGAACGTCCCTTTTCTCTTGGAAGCCAGCCACGCTTTTAACTCCTAGCTAGTGCGACTCTCTCCCTGGTAAATAAATATATTGTTTTCCTTATAGCATTGAATATCCTCAGATGTAAACCTCCCAAGGACTTAAAGAAAGTGCTTATTTTAATCCACTTTAGGGATATTTTTAAAACATGTCAACTTGGATATGATCTTTTCAGAATTTTGATGCCATTATAATGATTTGTTAACACTCAAGTTCAGAAGTCCCTGGATGCTTGACTCTGATAAGCTGCTCGGGTGCAGTTAGGGTTGTACAATAGTGATGGTTCTTCTGGGAGACTAACAATGCTAGACTAGGTGCCTACTATGGCACAGGTTAAGTATAGGTGCTGAAAACAAAGATGTCACTGGCTTGCATTCTTTGGGGGGGGGGGAGGTGGTGGATTCCACCAGGAAACGAGAAAGAAGTGTCTGTGTGTACCTGTGTTTGGGAGGGCAAGAGCTTGTGCTTCAACAGGGAAGACAGCAGAAACCACTGCTTTGAAGGTCATTTGAATGAGCTGTTCTGACTAAAATTATATTCTTGAATTCCAGATAGATATTACGAACGACATTTCTATACAGTAGGTCTCCTTTTGTAACAAAGGTAATTGAGAACCTCAGAGCAGAGAAATGAGTAATTTAGTTAAGTCCACTTCAGTTATAAACACGCGGGGAAGAACACTGAATCTGCCTTTTACACACCATTAGGGAGGACATCACAACCTTGCCTAGCGTTTCAGGAGAGTGGTTTTGGCTCTTCAATACAGGGTTTCTCTGTGTAGTCCTGGCTGTCCTGGAACTCACTCTGTAGACCAGGCTGGCTTCAGACTCACAGAGATCTGCCTGCCTCTGTCTCCCAAGTGCTGGGATTAAAGGTGAGCTCCCAACTCCCTGAGTCGTCCCCGTCTCAAGGGCGAAATTTTATATATTTAAAAGTAAATATATTCAAATATTAAGCAGCCAGTGAAATAAAAATTTGATACAGGGCTGGGGATATAGCTCAGTCGGTAGTCTGCTTGCCTAGCATGCACCGAGCCCTGAGTTTGGTCCCAGACTGTGTTGTGGTGTCCAACTGTAATCCCAGCACCTCAGAGGTAGAGTCAGGAGGACCAGAAGTTCAACGTCATCTTGACTACATAATGAGTGCCAGTCTAGCTTGGGATACATGAGACCTTTCTAAAAAGTTTTATATGAAGGAAATAAATGGAAAAACTTGCTTTCGATGAGTTACCCTTCACAATCTCCCTTCCTAGCTGTGTGAGGATATTGTGGTGATTTTTTTCAATACAAACCATAATGGTTATTACAATACAAACATGACTGTCTACCTTGAAAGGTGACCTGCCATTTAGCTAGGTTAATTGTCAGTTAAGTTTTTGCATAATTTTCTACTTCAACTCTACCAGACTGTCTCTCTTAACTTTTGTGGAAGCCATATCTAAGTGTTGTTGAACCTCTGGAGTGAGTCACACAGGTTTCATGCAAATTCAGTGACAATAATGGTAAACCCAACCACAAAAACTTCTTTTAATTAATTTTCCAATGGGTATGTAGGAGGAAGAAAGTCTGCCATTGTTTTTATTTCTTAACATTGGGATTAGAGCTGTCATCTAAGTTAATTGGTTAATTGAATGTCAAGTGAGCAGGCTAAGCAGAGTGGTATTCCAGGGAAGAACAGACTGAAATCCACCTGAGGCTGTATGGGAAGAATTTCTCTGTGGTTGTGAAAAGCGGGTGAGTTTTCATTGCTTAGCACTGTGAGACAATCAGCCTTTCTCAGAATTTTCAGTAGATGTTGTGGTGGTTTGAAAGAAGATGGCACTCATAGGAAGTGGCACTATTAGGAGGTATGGCCTTGCTGGAGTAGGTGTGTACTTGGAGGAAGTGTGTCACTGTGGGGGTGGGCTTTGAGGTCTCCTATGCTCAAGCGATGCCCAGTGTGGAACACAGTTCACTTCCTGTTGCCTACAGATCAAGATGTAGAACTATCAGCTCCTTCTCCAGCACCATCTCTGCCTGCAAGGCCTCAATTCCCATCATGATGATAATGGACTAAATCTCTGAAACTGTAAGCTAACCCAATTAAACGATTTTTTATAGGAGTTGCCATGGTCATTGAGTCTTTTCATAGCAACAAAAGCCCTAACCGAGATGCCATCTTAAGAACAAAGTAAAAATATGCAATAGATGATTCTTGTTGTCCTAGAATATATATCCTGGGTTTTCAGTTTAGAATTTTGGCAAGCTATTGAAAAAGACCACTTTCTCACAATAGAGAATAGTAAATCTGATTTCTTTTATTTCCCAGCCTCTGACCAGTCAGTCAGAATGTGGGAGCTGACTTCCAGGTGTTTACTCACACAGAGGTGATCTTACACAGACAGATATGAAATATGTGATTGATTTGCTTTTTTTTTTTGCAACAAGTTCTCTGTGATATAGCTCTGGCTGTCCTGGAACGTGATATGTAGACTATGTAGATCAGGCTGGTTTCCAACTCATAGAGATCCACCTGTCTCTGCCTTCCTAGTGCTAGGGTTAAAGGTGACTTCTGTCACTCCTGGCATATGATTTTGAGGCAGAGTTTCTTGTAGCTCAGATTGACCTTGAATTCAATATGTAGCTGAGGATAACTAGTTCTTAAATTAGCTGCTGACCAACAAGTTATCCCTCAGATTTGATTTGAGCATCTGGAAAAAAAATAAAAGGGCTGTTAGCTCCACCTGAGGCCACTTGGCCCCGGGCAGGCAGAAATCAACCCTGAACCTATGGCGCCAGGTGGGAAGTCGGAGATTGAGGCAGAACGGTTTATGTGCTGGGGAGAGACGTGGATCCGAAGAGGTAAGGACGGTAATGATGTGGGTGGCCTGCTTGCCGCCCGTGGCCATGGTGCTGTCCAGATCTGGGCTGCTGCCAAGGGCCGTGCTGTAGCCTGTGTTGATGTCCATGGCTCCTGTTGCCGCTGAGGGCATACAGAGGCAAGCAGTCTGGGCAGACAGCTGAGTACTGTCCGAGGGCTGTGCCTCTGTTGGGCCCACACAGACCTAAGCGACATGTGCTGCAGTCCGGGGCCGTGGCATTGTTTGGGCCTTAGCTGAAGCCAGTGCCATGTCCATGTCCACTTCGTTGTCTGCTTTTGTTGTTTGGATTTTGTTTGGTTGGTTTTGGTTTTTCTTTTAAGTTTATTTTATTTCCGGGGAGAGGTTGCCAGGGCAGAGGGTGGACATGAAGGGATAGGGTGATGAGTGGGATCAGGGTACATGATGTGAAATCCACAGAGAATCAGTAAGAAGTTTTAAAAAATAAAAAAGGAAATTGCTCAAAAAAAAAAAAGGCTGTGACAGGGAGGTAGTAGCACACGCCTTTAATCCCAGCACTCCAGAGGCAGAGGCAGGCAGAGCTCTGTGAGTTCAAGACCAGCCTGATCTATAGCCAGGGCTACACAGAGAAACTGTCTCAAAGAACAAAAATAAACAACCTTCCATCCAAAACAAACAAACAAACAAACCTCCCAAAGGCTGTGGATCAGATGGTATCAATGGTTTGAGATTTTGTGGGGTAGGCAATCAGCATGCCTAATTTAGGGTTCATTTCACAGATTTAAAATGCAGATTAATGTCTTCTTAATACTTACTGTGCTCCAAATCTATTTTCTAACTACAATCTAGAGGTGAGGTACAGATGGTTATTATTGCCATTAATTGTCAATAGAGACGAAGCAACTTGCTGTGAGTTTGAACTCTAGTAGCTTGTCTCCAAAGTCTGACCTGTTGTTAATGAGAAACTCAGAACACCCATGGACAAAAACAGAAAGAAACTCTTTTTTTTTTAGTTTAACTTTTGTTAATCATTAAAACAGATACTTCTGATTGATTAGTAGATGGAATAAGATTTCAAAATTTTCTCTTAATTCTTCCCATAGCAATTTGACTTTCTGAAAATTTTAGTGGGCTTTATTTACACAACACCTCATTATTTCCAGTTGTTGATAATGTCTCCGGGCTTGCTTTTACAGTGGAGAGATCTTTGGCTAGCCAGAATTGGCAAAGGCGGCCATTGCAGGCATTGGCATGTAGGAGAAGCCCTGGGAGAGCTTTGGCTGGCAGAGTAGGTCTGCTGTTACCTAGGCAACATTCCTGTTGTTAGTTTGCTTCACCGGGAGACTTCTCAAAGACCAGCATAAAAGACAGCTACCAGGATCTAAGGATGTATATCCACAAAGAACAGCAAGAGTTTTGTTTGTTTGTTTGGTTTGGTTTTAAAGTCAAGCTGGGGTCTGGAAAGGTCAGTCTGTGCTTAGAACACAGGACCCCAGTTCAGTTCCCAGCACCCATGTTGGGGAGCTCACCGCCACCTGCAACCCAGGGGACTGGCCACACTTTTGTGACTCTGGAGGTAGTGCACTCATGTGCATACAGACACACACAGCGTAATTATAAAAAATAAACACTTAGAAATAGCTTGGATGTCATAAGCCATAAGGTGGCTTCTGAGGAGAAATATGAAGAGTTTATACCAGCTGTGAAGGGAAAAGGATGTATTCTAGAACCTAATAGATTGAAATTATTAGTTTCTGAAGAGACTGGGGAATGTCGGTCTCATCAAGAATAAGGGGTCTGGCCAAACACAGACTCTTGATTATATCTATCAATGAAGTTAGGTGGAAAAAAATCTAGATTGTTCTTATATTTCACTGACAAAACTGGAAAGCACACTCCTTGAATTCAGAAACTGGTGGGCATGTACTGAGCTTTACTGTCTGGCCCATGGATCTGAGGGTGAAGAGGCTTGTTTCAGCTACTCCAGGCTATGAGGTTACCTGAGGAAGGTGAGTGTGTGTGTGTGTGTGTGTGTATGTGTGTGTGTGTGTGTGTGTGTGTGTGTACGTGTAAGCCTGGGTTTTGCCTTGGAGTTTGGATCACATGAATCACCTTTCAGTTCAGCTAAACATTATAATAATGATGCATTAATTCAGTAGACTGTAGAGTTCAGCTAAACATTATAATAATGATGCATTAATTCAGTAGACTGTAGAGGTGAGGGATACTGTGATGAGCAAGACTTAGGATACAATGGTCTCATATTTGCCTGGAATAAAGGTAAAGCAGAGGTGACTTCTAGGAGAAGGCAAATGCAGTTGCTACCATGTGGTATTTCTCAAGGGCCACGGAAGGAAGGACTCCCTTGTAATAGAATACTTTGAACTCTTTGAGAGCTCCATACAGCGACTTTTGATTGAAAGGACTCTTAAGAAGTAGTTTTTACACAGCACATTTCTACAATTTCTTCCAAGTAGTCTGCCACTAGCTCTCTAGATTATTTGTAAAGGGTTACCGAGAAAAGCCCGTTGTTTGGGTGCCTATGACATCTGCCAACAGAAATTGTCATTGAGTGACTTAAATGCCTCCATCTGCCCCATCTGACTATTTATCTTCTGTCTGTCTATCTATCTGTCTATCTGTCTGTCTATCTATCTATCTTCAATTAATCTATCCATCCATTATTTATCTTCCATTTATTAACAATCAGTCTATCTCCCATCATCTTTGTACCTATTAACTATGTGTCTATGTATTTATCTATCACCTACCTATCTATCTGTATATTTGTCTGTCTGTCATGTAGATCTATCACCTATCAAACTGCCATTTATCTATATATGTATCCCATATCATCTTTTTATCTATCTGCATGTCCATGTATGTAGTATATTATACAGGTGTGTTTGATATAGGATCTTGTTATGTAGCACAGACTGGTCTCAAAATCATGTTATTCTCCTGCTTCAGTCTTCTTAGTGCTGGGAGTGTAGATATGAGCCATTTTGTTCCACACTTTAAAACACTCTTCCCCCCCCAGTATTGAGAATTGACCCTGAGCCTCTCACAGGCTAGTCTACCACTGAGATACAGTCTCAGACAGGTTCTCACTGAGTTGTCCAGGCTGGTTTTGAACCTACAATCACCCTGCCTCAACCTCTGGAGTAGCTAGGATTATAGAACCGTGGCCCCCGACCTGGACACTTTCATCTCTGGGCTCTACGTCTGTCTTTCTAATCCATCATATTATTGTCATTATTTTCTCCCCACACTTTCTAATTTTTCAGGTGTTGCTCTAGTCTAGAGCAGACAGTGAAGAGTGCATTCCAAGTAGTTGTTACTATAGAAAGGTGACTGTAGATAGACTTTTATGTTTGTTCCCCTTTGCTGTGCAACCTGGGAGAGACTGCCCTTCCAAGTCTCTGTGTCTGTGACTATGGTTTAAGGTTCACCATAAGACTTTAATTGGAGTATGGGGCTCTCCCAGCCGCACAGCAACACACAACAGTATCATTTCCCGTTCTGGTGACTGCAACCACTGGTACTTTTCTCCCAGTGCTGTTGTCTTTAGAGCCATTAAGGTTTATTGGCAGCTTTATTGTGACAGTGTCACACCATTTGCTTTATTTATTTATTTATTTATTTATTTGTTTGTTTGTTTGTTTGTTTATTGTGTGGGGGCATTGGTGTGCCATGGTGTGCTTGTGGAGACCAGAGGAAAACTTTTGGGACTTGGTTCTCTCTACTTCTCTTCTGGGACCACCCTGTAGGTCCCAGGGATCAATGTCAGCTTGTCAGGATTGGCTGTGGACACCTTCACCCACTCAGCCGTGTCACCAGTCCTGCCGAGTGTTCTATTACGTACTGCTTAAAATGTGTAATATAGGAAGTCAAAGGACACATAGATTTTCTGCTTAAAGAAACTTTGTTTTATTTTTTAATAAAAAATACAGAAACATTGTTACAAATGAAGAGAACTTCTAGGTCATTCCAAAGATCAATACATTTTCAAACTCAAAAACGCATTTAGGTTTTCATCTACATCAGTTTTACCACTGTGACCCGGTTTCCTCTGCATTTCAGTGATGCAGCCACACATCCATTTTTGAGGTTATCTTTCTAACCTTTGGTTTGAGACAAGGTCTCAGGTAGCCCGGCTAGCTATGTGACTGAGGACGAGTGTGAACTTCTGGTCTTCTCCTCTCCATCTCCCAATTGCTGGGTTGTAGGCATGTCTGGCTCCAAATTCCCATCTGTTACGTTGGGTTTAAGAGCTAAAGTTAAAATGCTCGGGGAAACCCGAGTCCACCTTTGCAGATGGAGTAAGGACTGTTCTTATTGTTAATCTAGCATTCATGGAAACGCAGATGCACAGACCAGTGTCTGTAGTCTGGATCCAAGCAAGCTGCTGTGCAGAATTGAGAGGTGGGCTGCCCCATAGGCTGGGCTGCCCTCACTGGCACAGGCGTGATGAAAGCCTTGTTTTGGAAATGTGGGCTGCTTAAGCTTCTCAGTCTGTCTGTCCTAAGCATACCTTCCTGGGAGCCACAATGCTACAAAAGGGACAGGGACTAAGGATAGTGACATCTAGGTGTTTTGTTTCACCCTCATTATCTTTAGACCATATTTACTTTTAGGGTTAAAACATAACTGGTTAATAGTCAGTATCTGGAAAACATTTTAAAGCTTTTATTGTGAAAAAATATCTGTTGTATGTGGTGGCTCATGCCTACAGTCTCAGCACTCAGGACGCTATCGGGAAGATCCCAAGTTCAAGACCAGCTTGACTACATGGCAAGTTCCAGGCCAGGTTAGCTACAGCAAAACCCTGCCTCAAAAAGGAAAAACAAAACCAAACCAACTAACCAACAAAAACCAACATCGACAACAAAAAAGGAAAATTAAAAGACCTACTTTTCAAGCAATTCGAAATAATTGAGCTGGACAATGGCCTTGGAAAGACTCAGCTAAGACAATAATGTCGAGAAGCAGGGAGGTAGAATATTCTTTGTGGGCTAAAAGGGGAGATCATGAATAACCAGAAATGGCTGGAAGAACTGTACTACTGTTAGGGTGACTCTCATGAAATGTGTTCTAAACCAGTGGTTCTCAGCCTGTGGGTCATGATCCCTTTGCAGGACAGTGTTGAATGACCCTTTAACAGGGGCCACATATCAGATATCCTGCATATCAGATATTTACCTTGCGATTCGTAACAGTAACAAAAGTACAGTTATGAAGTAGAATAATTGTATGATTGGGGTCACCACAACATGAAGAACTGTATTAAAGGGCCACAGCATTGGGAAGGCTGAGAACCGCTGCTCTAAACATTCACTCACATAGCATCTGCACACTTAGCATTTACGTTGCTACTTAGCATTAAATTGCTACAGCTGCTCAATTCCCTTTTTCACTGTTTTTCCTAAAATGGCGCACGCTCACACATTTCACTACCTGCTATTTTATTAGTTCATAGGCCTTTTTGCTTAGAAGAGAAGCTGTGCTTTTTCTACTCCTGCAAACCCTGATCGACATTGTTAACGTAACAAACCTCACTGCATATCTTCTGTGAGTCATTCCTACTGGCTGGCACTCACAATAAGGACTTCTTTTTAAAAGACTTACACAGGATTAACATTTGAGGAGTGTCTGCGAGGGAGCATGTATTTCTGTATTAAATTGCATTTTCTTGGGCTAGCTCAAAATCCACACAGAATACTATTTACACCATTACTAAACCTTCTTACAGGTTCTATGCTATTTGTATTTTAAAACTGTCTTATTGTGAGCATACATAGAATATAGATGCAGTGATTTAAACATATTCACCCACAGCCCCGGGCTTGAGCAAAAGATTTGAGATCTCTCACCAAGAAGACAAAGCCCCTCAGCTACATCTATTACCTTTGCTCCAAGCTGCCCAGAAAATTTTGTCATGTACCTCAGACTCCCCTGGCTGTTAATAATATCCGTATTAATGATAGAGACAGGGACCTGGACTCCAAGAAGGAAGCCAATCTACTAACCCACAGTGTGTTTTAAGGTGACAGCATCTTCCTTTGACGTTGATAGTAAAGAACTGTAAAGATGCTTAGGAACATTCCCTATCTAATATCTTAAGATACTTATAGAAAATATATAGGTTTATTCCTGCTGGGAAAAAATCAGAGAATTAGTAATGACAACATACCCAGCTTTGTTATATGAATCAGAGTATTTGAAATATAACCATGATCAGAGATTATTCAAAAAGCCAAATTAATTCAATACCACAAGCTTTGCTAGATCTTATAAAACATATTTGGGTAAAAATATCCAAATTTGGTTGTTATGTTTTCCATTTTGCTTTGGTCATAAATGGGAGCAGGCTTCTTTTGTGTAGAGCATACTGTATGAACCTCGTAGCTCTGTGGGAGCCACTATGCTACCAGAGACACTGGGAAGGGGGCACATTACCCTCTCTGTTACCGTGACACTCTGGGTGAGGCGTGGCTCAAAGGTGGCAGTGGTGGGCTGCAGGAAGGACCCTGATGCTGAGTGTGCTTCTGTGAGCAAGTAGTCACCAAGCTGTAGAGGGTCAGGGATGGCAATGGCAGGGTGGACAGACCCAGAAGTGAACACAACAGAAGCATCCTGACTGCCAGACAGAGTCTGGTGCCTTTGAGAACCTGACTGAGGGATGTCCAGGCCTCCAGAAAGAGTCTGGTGCCTTTGAGAACCTGACTGAGGGACGTCCTGACCTCCAGACAGAGTCTGGTACCTTTGAGAACTCAGTTGAGGGACATCCTGACCTCCAGACAGAGTCTGGTACCTTTGAGAACTCATCTGAGGGACGTCCTGACCTCCAGACAGAATCTGGTACCTTTGAGAACCCATCTGAGGGAAGTCCTGACCTCCAGACAGAGTCTGGTGTCTTTGGGAACTGGACTGGGGAGCCTCCAGACTGCCAGGCAAAGTTTGGTACCTGGAAGGACCTGCCAGAGGGACTTCTGTAGAGCGAGCACAGATATCTGCCCCAGAACCACTGTCTTTAGGTCCTGGCTTTGCCTGCTTGGCTTCATCATCAATACCAAGACATATATCTCCAAGCTTTTTAAATTTGGGGCCAAGGGAATCCAAGAAGCTGTCATCTAGGTCATCGGCGCAAAAGCTGCAGGAGCTGAGCGCAGGCGAACAGGGGCCAGCATCCTCGCCTTCGTCATCGTATATCAGCAAACAGTCATTCACTTCCTGCTCATCCTCTTCCTCAGCATAGGCGAATGATTTCTAAATAAGGAGAAAGAGGACAAATGGACTTTACAAAGACCATCGGATCCACTCATAAAGCCCAAGGCTGGGGTGTGAACCCCCCACATTAGGTAATCCGCACTAGTGATGACGGTGCTCTTTCATTTCCCCTCTGGATAGCTAAAACGTTTTCTTTTATTTATTTTTATCGTTACTGTGTTTGTAGTTAGTGTTCAATATAATGGGAGTATGGCATGCCATAAACATGTATCCTTGATCTTTGATCCTATTTAGACCCCCTTACTCTTTCTTGCTCTTCCCCCCCTCCTGCTACCCCGTCTCCTTTCCCCATAGTCTCTCCTTGGCTTCCAGGTGCTGTATATGCATATAGAGTCAAATGCAGACTTTCGCTAATGAGAGAAAACACGAGGTGGTTTTCCTTTCCGTTACTGTCCCATGCTCCCCACCTCTCTCCTCTTCTCTTCCCAGAAGTTCCCTCCTGCTTTCATGTTACAGACAAAAATAAACCTACCCACATATTAGAGCCAGCACCGTGCAGGTCTTTCTTTTTTTTTTGTTTGTTTGTTTTTTGAGACAGGGTTTCTCTGTGGCTTTGGAGGCTGTCCTGGAACTCGCTTTGTAGACCAGGATGGCCTCGAACTCACAGAGATCCGCCTGCCTCTGCCTCCCGAGTGCTGGGATTAAAGGCGTGCACCACCAATGCCCGGCTCAGGCAGGTCTTTCTGAGTCTGGCTTCAGGAAATACTCTTTAACATTCTTCTTTGGGGAATTGGCAATATGGCTGATATTCCTTCAAAAAGTCTAGCCTAGGCTTATGTTTCAGTGTTTGATTTTGCCTGGATTTCGGTCTCCATAGCAACTGTATGTGCTACCTGTGGTCCATCACTGGGCTGTTTGATTTTTGTGTTGGGGGAGGGGCAGCTTTCCCAAGGTGCACGGAGACAGTTTTCACCCCCGTGGGGGCTTCGCACTAACATTGTCCTTGTCCACTTGACTTGTGAGTTTGAACCAGTGGCCCTCATTTTGACAGCTACCAAAATTGCCTGATTTATTTTGATAAGAGGAAGCTTTTTTCCCCCTTACATTTAAAAAAGTATGGAAAAATGAATCTCAATACTAACTTACGTAGCCAAGTAACCAGATTTCCTGTGTAAATGAGATAACCAACCTGCCCATTTGCTGCCCAGTTACCTGAGAAAAGTAGGAACCTAGGAAAGTCATGTTCACTGGTGCAACAACATAGTCCTTCAAGGTCCCTCCTGTGGAATGCCTTGTTCTCATCGTTCCTGAATGACCCAAGGAACAGGGCCCAAGCGTCCCCGCAGCTCCTGATCCTGTAGCTGCTCCCAGCTTGGTGGTCATTTCGATTCCTGAAGCTCCTTCCACCACTGTCCCTCCAGTATACGTATTTGTGCAAACTTCTAAAGACACGAGAGAGAGAGAGAGCTCTAATACTTCATGCAGTGACTTTTTAAAAACTCCCATATATGCACATGAGTGTGTACGTATGTGTGCACACGTGTGCGTGTGGAGGTCAGAAGGCACTCTTAGGTGTTGGTCCTCAGGGTACCATCCATCTTTCTTTGAGCCAGGGTCTCTCACTGGCCGGGAACTTGCTGATTCAGGTAGGCTCTCTGGCCAATGAGTCCCAGGGATCTGCCACTCCCTGTCTCCCCAGCATGGGCCAGGATGCCTAGCATTTTCATGAATTCAGGGCCCCACCCTTGAACAGCAAGTGCTTGACTGACTGAGCTCTCTTTTCAGTCCTTCCAGCTCTTTCACCTTTGATGGACAGTTTCTGTGTAAAGCAGCCGCGTGAGGGGAAGTGCAATGGTGTGACTAGGGCGATAACATTCCAGAAGGCTGATGTGAGCAGCGGAGGGGCATGGGCAGGTGGAGAAGCCATGAAGACATGTCAACTAAAGGTGAGCACAGGGGAAGCAGATTGTTGGTGGCTATGGCCAGAAACAAAAAGGTGAAAAGACACAGTAGTCAGTGATCGGCCATGGAAAGCTTCTGAACTCATGTGTTCTCAGGGACAATGGCATTGGGGTCAAGCAGTCATATGATTTCAGCATCGGAAGTGAAAGAAGTCCCTATGAAGTGACTGTGCAAAGTGACAGATGCCATCCAAAGGGGGACTTAAAGGGTTATGGTTGTGTTTCCTATTTCTTTCATGTGATGCTTTCATAGATTATTTACATTCATTTTACTTTTTCTTTGTGTGCATGCATGTGTGTGTGTGTGTGTATGTGTGTGTATGTGTGTGTGTGAATATGAGCACACGTGTATGGATGTCCACAGAAATCGTGGTAACAGGATATCAGATCCCCTGCAACTGGAGTTTACAGGTGTTTATTAACCACCCAGTGTGGACACTGGGAATTGAACCCTAGTCCTTTGGAAGACCAGCCAGTGCTCTAAGCCAGTGAACCAACTCCCCACCTCACTATGAGTTATATTTTACAGACAATTCTGGGTTCAGTTTTTGCTATGTAATCATAATGCGAGAAGCAAGTATTTGAGAAGCTGTTAAAGGCTGTCATGTAACTGGGTATAACTTGTGTAGATACTTGCCAGCTACAGAATGAAGAATAAAATTCCTGTGAGTGCCAGGCCTCATTGCTTGCTAGTTTATAGTGTACTTCTGGTAATGAGACAACATGCTTAAAATTGTCACTAAGTAAATCCGAAGAAATAACAGATCCACTTAAGTGCCAGCTATAGGCTTCATCCAGCTAAGTGCCATGTTGATTGCACAGAACTAGTAACCGAACTCAAACCAGACACAGTTGACGCTGTTACACCAGGAAGAGGGACAGAATACCAGAGGTGTGGCATGCCCAAATATGGTACAGATGCCCACACATGAGACTTGATGGGCAAACATGAACCGACCTGTGCTAGCGACAGTCAGAGCTAGTGGTGGACCCAGCCACTGCTAACATTTTCACTTCCAGTTTGCTAACCCTGGAAAACATTTTCTAATTAAAAGTTATTAATTAGTGTTGGAAAGATGGCCCAGATGCTTAGCATTCACGAAGCCGCGAGTTCAAATCTCAGTACAAATAAGTAAACAGACAAATTTGATGTCTACTCACCAGAGCTTTCCATGAAACCCGCTCCATTGGCTGTGACAGGAGGCACACAAATGTTTGTGATTTCCTACAAATTACAGGATTAAATTATACACATTTCAGTACGATATAGGTGGAGTGTGGCCCCTCGTAAGTGGTAACATCACAATACTTCTAGGTGTATCCCCTTTTAGGACGCAGCTCCTGTAAAGTTGGAGTCCTAAAAGTTCCCCTCCACGACAGTCTCAACTCTCCACTTAGGGTCAAGATGTCTCTTGACATCCCTCGGTTTCCCTTTCCTACTCCATTATAAACCCTTTCCCAGTACATGACTGCAGTAACTGTTTTACAAACCGGATTCTCACCTTGTCTTCAGGCTGGGCTCCTTCGATTCCCCACTGATGGATTGTTCCCTCTGAGCCATCAGGCACCGGGATAAAGCCACCTGTCGCGGCTCCTCCTCCAATGGGGCCTGCCCCACAGTCACAGGTCAGCAGCAGAAGAGGGGCCACTGGGCAGGAACAAGGAAACAGAGAATGCTTGAATCCATTGGAAACTGTTTGACATGGCAATTGTTGAAAGTGTTACAAAGGCAATACAGTGGTTCAACCATTAAAGGAATGTATTTAACGAAAGCAAAATAAGAATACAATTTATTGAGTTAAATGCAGCAATTTACCAGTGATCATGAGCTGAAGGAGGCCAGGCCATTTCTTGGAGGGTTTGTTCAGTTTCTCAATCCCTTTCCATAAAGCATATTATTATTGTTGTTGTTGTTGTTACTGTTTACTGTATTTTTTGTACATGTTTACTGTCTCTGTTGTGTTCGGTAAATGCACACAAAACTGTTATGCCTCCATAGCCAAGATTTTAGGTGATTTTGATAATAGTTCAGAGTTTTGTCTTTAGTAAAGGGCAGTTGACCAGCAAAGTGCAGCAGCAACTAAAGATGGTTTGATCGACGACTTTCAGTGGAGTGCAGTGTGTGTGTGTGTGTGTGTGTGTGTGTGTGTGTGTGTGTGTGTGTGTGTGTATTGGAATTGGAACCCAGGTTCTGGTAGATCCCGTGCTCTTAAATCTCAGAGTCATTTCCCTAGCCCCTAACACTGCACTTTTAATTGTGAACTGAGAGTCCTTAGCTTGGAGGATCTTCCAACCATTATGTCATTCTTTCTGCTAATGGTCATTTAAAAATACTTATTTCATGTGTTTGAGTGTTTTTCCTGCATCTTTGTCTGTGTACAATGTGCCTGCCTGGTGCATGCAGAGGCTGGAAGAAGATGCCAGATTCCCTAGAACTGGAGTCAGCGGTTGTTGGCTGTCATGTGGGTGCTACAATCCAAATCCAAGAGCAGCCAGAGCTCTTAGCTGTTAAGCCATCTCTCATTGTACTCTGATGCCAATGCCACATATTTATCTCTGCACTGTCAAGGTCACATGGGCCCTAATGCTTGAACTGTCCCCTTAGCAGTAGCTCCCTGAAGGGTTAGGGGACAGGTCTCTGAATCGGACTTCTAGGATTTGGATTTTGGATGCACCACTTTTCAGCTCTGTGACCCTGACTACATCGTATAATCTTTCTAAGTCATCCATTTGAAGGGGAAATAAGTGGTACCTTCATCATGGTTGTCTGAGAGAGGGAAAAGACAGTAATGGATGTTATGAAGACATGCTAGTGTTACTAGAATGAATTACATAATTATGCAAATTAGGTCAAGTTTTAAAACAGATGGGATGTAACTCATACAATATATTGAGTCTTAATACAATGCTTAAATAAATTGTATTTATTATTAAATATTTAATTTTTAATTCTGTGTGTGTGTGTGTGTATGTGAGTGCACATGTCTCTGAAGGCAAGAAGAGGGCACTGGATCCCCTGGTGCTGGAGTTATAGGGAGCTGTGAGCCACTCACAGTATGTGTTGGGAACTGAACTCAGCTCTTCTGTAAGAGCTATGTGCTCATGGCCACTGAACCATCTCTCTGGCCCACAAATCATATTTCTAAAGACAGTTGAGGTAGAATATACATGTACACCATGAAAATTTGTTTTACCATTAATATTTTATGATTCAGTTATAAACTAAGGAATTATTGTGAATTTATTAAAGATCTCTTGTTTACCCAACTCCTTTCAAACTTCCTTTAAGTAGAGGACTCTTATATCAGAGCATCATTTGATTAATGAGATTTTGATTAAAATGAAAATTTCCAGAAACCTATCTATTGAATAAGCTAACATGCACAGTTAGTAAAAGACAGGACAGGCATGCAATTTCCTTAAATGTCTTCACTATTATTTGTGAACATTAAAAAGCTTTTTAAAGATTTATTTTTTTTAGGTGTGAGTGTGTTCCACATGAGGTCTGGGAGCTATGGGTGGTCGTGAACCATTATGTGGGTGGAATCGAACCCAGGTCCTCTGCAAGTCCTTCTAACTACTGAGCCATCTCTGCATCCCAGGTGTGAGTATTTTAAAGGGATGCACGTGAGGGGTATGCTCTGTATTGAAGACTGGCTGGATTAAACAATGAATTTCAGCAGTCAAGTTCTGTTAATGTGCATCCCAGATGACCTCTCTAAAGAATTTTAGTCATGAGACTAGTATGTGGATCTGAGATGTGTATGTACATCTTAGAAAGTCCATGCTTATGAATAAAGTCATGATTTTGACTGAGCACATATTGACTGAGTATCTTTATAATCCTTTCATCTGCTCTTGTCTTCCATCCCCCATGTGGCCAGAATATGATTATGAATACACAGCTGTACGAGTATGCTTATGGAGGCCAGGGGAAACTTCGAATATCAATCTTTGGGCATCTTTAATGACCTAAGCAGGCTAGGCTAGTAGTCCAGTGAGCTCTAGGCATCAGTGTGCCTCTTCCTCCCAACTTACTGTGGCTGGGATTGAACCCACATCCTCATGCTTGTCAGACAAACACTATATTGCCTGAGCCATTTCCCCAGCTCTGTTATTTTGAAACGATTGCATATATGATTTGCTTTGCTGTATTTAAGTTGTTGCTAAGTGATTAGAGAATGGCACTTCTCACATTGCACAAATGAGCACATTGGCTTTTGTAAATGATGTCACTGCCATGGACTCTGGAGGGCAGATTGGCTTACTCACACAGCAACATCAGGAGTCCTAGCAGGATCAATCCAATGGCGGCAGGCCCCAGCCTCCAGGATGACTCCCTGTATATCATAGGTCCTCTGCTGGGGAAAGGGGCTCTGCACATGCTCCGGTCATCGCACTGACACACTGTCAGGGTCAGGATCTCTGGTGTGTCACACTGCCTGCCCTCATTGTCCTTCACGATGACTGGGACACTGTATACTCCTGGAGACATCTGCTGCTGGGCTCGCAGAAGTGCTGAGGTAGCTACAAAAACAAACAAAAAACAAACACACAAATGTGCAAATCCACAGTGAGAATAGGCTTCATTTGCTCTTCAAACTTCTTGCTTGTCATCATGGTGCTAGAATTGTCTTGGAATTATGATGTTCTCTCTACTCACCATTCATCATTCCGATGTTCCACACGACAGGCAGTTTCAGAGGCTGCTCCTCCAGTGACATGGTGTAGGGACCAGTGTATCCACCCCTCTCCAGGGTTCTCACCGAGACAACCACAGATGGTGAGGAACTACAGATCTCTTCCTTCTCGAGGGCAACTGATGGACAGTTTTCACTAAAACTGGGCACTTCGACAAATACTGTGCCTGTGGACGTCTTTTTAGTGTTTTCTGTAAGAATTTAAAGGAATGCAGAGAGTAAAGTTGTACAAAAAACGACCTTCCACACCCCATCCCTTTCTTTCTCCTCCCTCTCTCTTGTTCTTGCTTTCTCTGAGTCCCTCCCCTGCCCTTCCTCCTTCCCGCTCCTCGCCACTCCCCTTTTCTATCTTTTAATTTCATCTTTCCTTTCTTTTAATGTTTCTCCCTCCCTCACACTCTCTTTCACTGTCTTTTCTCTTCCCCTCCTTTCTTTCCCTCCCTGTCCATCCCCCTTCCTTCCTTCCTTCTCCCCTCCCTCCCTCCCTCCCTCCCTCCCTCCCTCCCTCCCTCCCTCCCTCCCTCCCTCCCTTCATTCCTTTCTGGGAGTCTACCCCTTCATTCCTTTCTGGGAGTCTAGGTGGTCAGGCTGGCTGGGAACTCCTGTCTCAGCCTCCTGGGACTATAGACACGCCCCTGCACCCAATTTACAAAAGTAACTTTTTATATTTCTTTCTTGCTGCCAAGTTAGGATAACTTCTTGTAAAAAGGTGTATTTGTTATTATCAGGAGTAAGAAGACATCATCCTATCTCTGCAATTTATAAAACCAATTTAAACTTGCCAAGTTGCCTGTGTCTCTGGGAAGCAGCATTAGCATCAGTCAGATATTCTTGAAATCAAAGTAATTAATTCATTAATTACAAATGAAATCAATACAAAAATAGCTTTAAAGCTGTGGTAACATTTGTAACCAGGAGACAAAAGATTCTTGCTCCTGCAATTTGAACCTTAGTATTTGGAATAAATAATTATATTTATTACATAAGACTTAAGAGTTTATTGAAGCCACAGGGTGGTGGCATGTGGCTTTTTAATGCCAGCACTTAGGAGCAGAGACTTGTGGATCTCTTTGAGTTTGAGTTTGAGAGCAGGCGCTCTACATAATCAGCCACTGGGCTAGTTCCTTATAGTCAGACCCCATTTCAGAAAACAAACAATGTTGACAACCAAACAACACAATAAAACTCTTCAGTGATGAGATGTCATATTTAGTGTTAGGGGTGGTTTTTCCAAATGTTATTATTTTTGGTGTTCATTTTTTGGTGTTTATTACATTGAGCCTAAATTAGCTTTATAGACTGGTAAACTCATACAGTCTATGAATATTATTTTAAAACACCTCAGGAGAGGAAATTTTATTATTTAATGATGAAAGCTTACAGGGTTTCTGTAGAGAACTCGAGTGAGTTGGTGCTTGGAGTGGATTTGTTGATTGATTGTCTATAGGCATTTTAACTGGTCTTCGAAAATTAGTTATTTTTGTAAGTCAAAAATTTTCTCCTGAGGTTAGGAAGGTGGCTCAGTGGGTGAGAACACTTGATGTCCAGGTGTGAGGAACCAAGTTTGGGCCCTTAGTGCTGTGTAAAAGTGGGGGCTGCTGTGTGTGCATCCACAACTCTGTCTTGTGGGCCTCTGACTGCCAGCATTGTTCCAGGTTAACTAAGATTCCCTGTCTCAGGTGACTAAGGCATACAGCAATGAAACAGGACACTAAGTGTCTTCCTCTGGCCTCCACAAATGCATGGGTACATGCACCTGCACTCACATATGGACAAATGTATATCACACACACATGCACTCACACACACATATGCATGAACACACACACATGTGCACACACATGCACATTTACACACATACTTTCTACCTCACCATTAGTAAACCAAAGGGACTAGAGTTATAGGTGGGAGTGGAAATTTCTTAGTTTCTTTTAGGTTAAGATGTGATGTCTCAGGCTCAAGGCCAAAACCTAAGATAATGATCTTTAGTGATAAAGGAAATATATAAATCAGTCATGACCATCTATCTACACTGAAGAGAATGCTAATTTAAACTTCATTCAAAACCATGAAAATAACATTCTTACCATCTATGGCCAGAACTTCAGCTGAGATTGTCTTGTTAACTATGAAAGTAGAGTCTCGGTTGATGTTTTTGACAAATTTGATCTGAGCAGTTTTTGAATCAATAACAAGCAAACCTCCATCATTTCGGCCCAGTACATATCTGTTTTATAATAGAAAAATATAAAAGGTTGTTTATTTAATATATATTATTCAGTATACAGCCAACATAGTTATACATGACCTAAAATGTTGTGTGTGTACTTATAAACAGTATCAGGGTGCTGGACACTTGCTGATCTCATATGGGACCTCGGTTTGTTCCCAGTATCCACATGGTGGCTCACAACCACTTATAACTCCAGGTTCAGGGGATCTGATCACCTCTTCTGACTCCTTGAGGAACTACACACACACAAAGTACCCAGACACTCATGCCGGTAAAACACCCACATGCAAAATAAACATAAATAAATCTTATAAAGGAGTAAAAACACGGAAAATTGACATGATATAGTTGCTTAACACTTCATAATCTTTATGTATGCATTAGTCTGGTACCCAGTTTTCAGCTGTTTCTCTGTATGGCGCTTTATGCTTCAGCCATTACCGACTTTGCCTTGGATTGAGCCATAGTGTCTTATCTTACTGGAACTCACTCCTTTGATGAACTTCTAACCTTTTGCAAGACTCAGCTGTGGAGCTCTGTGCTGGTTTCCATCCCGGCTAAGACATCTCTCTTTTAGCTCCTACTAGTTTGCAGGCAGGCATACTCTTTTTGATCACACCACAATATATTCTAGTGATTTCTCTGTGTATCTCTCCTTGAGTTATCTAGTTCCTTGGCTTCACCCCTTCTGTAGATCTGTTTCTGGTTACTAGTTGATGGAGCACTGTGTTGTTGTCACATACAATGAAAGCCACACTAAGGACTCATAGGATATAAAGCCTGTCTTACCTGACAGATGAGGCAGCTTTGCCAGTGTCCTCATCGGTAGCTTGATATGTTCCCAGGATATAGCCAGCCAGTTTGTTAGTGCTTACATCCCTTGGCACGGTAAATGTCTTGGAAGGAGGACGGAATGAAATTCCTTCTTGGACGTTGGTGACTTGAATTATGACAGGAGTTGACTGCACTCGGTACTGTGAGATCACAGACTGGTGGAATTCAGCTTTGTTTCTGACAGCAATGCTAAATTGCAAGCTTTGCATTTGCTCATAATCCAGAGCCTAGAGTGAAAACCAAAGGAGACAGAAGGAAGTCTCACAAAAGACAAAGCAGAGCAAACACAGTCCGGAAGAGCATGAGGTGGACCAGACCTGCTGTTTCTGTAGAGCAAATATGGTTTCAGAAGCCATCGTAAGGGCAAATAGAAAATGCCTTAGGATTCTTAACTCATGAGACCTTGTTTTGGTAACCTGTTTATAAAACACATTGTCTCCCTTATAGATTACCAAAACATCATTAACTCCTTTTGGGCTATAAGGTAGAACTGAGAGTCCCTAATTTGTGGAGGTAGCATAGCTCAAGTCTGGATTCTGTTAGGACTGAGCAGTGTGTTGTGAAGGGGGCGCTTGATTCCTCTGATCCTCACTTTTCATTTCTAGATGCTATGTACATTTTATTAATTTGTTTAAAAAACCAGTACTGGAAACATCATCCAGGATGTTATATATGGTAGGCAAGTGTTCTACCATGATGTCACCTTTTCCACCAGGTTGTTGTGAGACTATAACAAATTAAGTCCTCTGATACATTCTTTTCTGTTTGTTTTTGAGATGGTTTTCCCTTTGTAGCTATTGTTATCATTGTATAAACCATGCTGGCTTTGATCTCAGAGGTCCTCCTCATTCTGCTTCCTGAGTGCTGGGACGAATGGCATGCACCACCACTGCCTGGAGACACATTTTTATAAACAGAAACTTGGTTATTAATAAAATATTCACTGGATTCATGCATATTCTTCTCTGTCATAAATAACATTTGAAGCTCGAAAGGCCAACTATCACATCTTGGTTGACAAGAAGACCAGCCAAGTCTTTTTTATAGCAGTGCGCAACTGACCCAACTCTTCATAGTGACAGTTTCCAGTGGTTTTCCTTATATCTGCATGATTATCTAATTAAGCTGGCTTAAATCAAGGCCCAAGGAATCTGAGGCTAGCATTTTTCATTCATTAGTCTTTTTTTTTTTCAGGACAATAAATTAGGAAGCACTAATTGTTTTATCTATTTACTGGTAGAATATTTTTTAAGGGAAGACGTCTGGATTTGAGTGTAATGCCTGCTTCTAAGGGCTCAGAGTTTCCCAGTGGAAGGGAGAGTGAAGGCAGAGACGAAGAGGTTACAGAGCTGGTGAAAGCAGGGAATTGCTTCTATCTGAGAGGTTTGGATCTGGGCTGAACACCGAAGGGTTCTGTGAAGGTACTCAGGGAAAGCTGGAGGCACTTTCAAATCGCCCGTGTTGCAGAAGGTGATCGGAGCTGGCTGGTAGCACCTTGGGTACTGTAGTAGGAAGGTCTGCTACTTCATTTTGATGTAGGTGGTTATCCATTTGGGTGGTGTGTTAGAATCACGCTGGTTAATGTAAGCCTCTAGAGAAGGAGAATTCCCCCATAGAACCTCATGCAAACCCTTTCTGTATTCCATCTAGAAAAAGTTGCAGGTGATTTAAAAGTGCCGTTGGCATTGGCGGCCACCACTCAGCCAATGAGAGCCTGGGAGGAGTAAGTCATCTAATTTGTTTCTTTAAAAACATGCGGTAGCAGACTGGAGGCAGTGAGAGCTAGAAGTGGGGAGAGACAGGTGGGGCGCCTGCTAGACAGTATTGCAATCTTGTAAGAGGGAGGGAGCAAGACGAGGCAGGGGATAGGGGGTAGAAGGCAGAGGGAGGCCATCCTTTAACAGTAGCTCCGCAGAACTTGACGGCTGCTCGGATGCTGTAGGAAATGCTAAGGTTCAAGGATAACAGCCAGGTGTCGAGTTTGGGGAAACTGAATGACCCCTGTCCATTAAATAGGGAGTCAAGATGATGTTAGGACTTATAACAAAGTCATTGCAGGTTCAGAAGCTGTAACACTCTCTGTGAAGTGTGGATTAATAAGGGGTGTTTACAGAAGTCTCTTTGTTAAGGAAATACTATCACTCCATCGTTATATCAGACCTAGGTGCTAAAGAAGCTCCAGAATGTTCCAAAACCTGATGCCAAACAATATCAGCAGAGTGGCTATCTGTTTGGGTCTGTCTAATTCCAGACACAGCTGTCCTGATGTAATTCCCGATGGGGAGTCTGCCATGCTGAACCTGAGCCTTCCTCGGTGATTTGCTTTTTACCTAGCAGAATTTGTTAACAGCTCCCACTTTCTGGAGAAATTATGATTTCTTTTTGTGAGGACATTAGCTAATACATTTAAAACATGTTGTCAAATTCCTGCACTACATCAATCCCATGCATTCTCACCTCTTGTGAACTATAATCCTTTGCAGAGATTGAATTTGATTAATATATGAAATGTCTTTACTTTCCTGTCCCGAGAGCATGCAAACCTCCCCCTGCCTCTTGTGTGTGTGTGTGTGTGTGTGTGTGTGTGTGTGTGCACGTGCGCGCAAAATGAAGTATGGTAGCTTGAAAGGAAAAAAATAGTATATCAAGAGAAGCTGTGTTTAGACAATAGAGCTATTATGATAGTAAAATAAATGCTACCTACTTTGTTATGTCTTCCTTACCTTAACCACCTTCAGGATGCCTTCATTGGTTCTGGGATCTGTTTCAATTTCAAACCAATTGCCCTCATTGCCAGAGGTGAAGAAGTAGACAGCCCACCAGTTGTCTGTGAATTCTTCATCCCAGTCTGTCACTTGAAATCGGAGTAACTCAGAATTTAAAGTATTTTCCTCGATACGTGCGGAATACTGAAATGGAGAAACACAGGATTTTAGTCAGTGCTAGGAGCTGCGAGGATGACCTGGCTGCACATTGTTGTCACTCTGTCCATTGCCAAGGTGGTTTGGCTGACCTGGCTGGCTAGGCGAGTGTACCCTTCCTCATTGTGTCAACCTTCCTCCAACTGAAGAGGGTGGCCTTCAGTTCCCCTGCTAGAACCCCAGACAAGTGCTCAAGATTCAGCACTAGGGTTTACCTAAGAGAATCATATTTATTTTAAATAGCATTCATCTTTATTTCTCAAATTATGTGTTATTTCCCATCAGTTCCTTAATTACCATATTTAAGGCTTTTTTTTTTTTTTGATACAGGTTTCTCTGTGTACTCTGTGTAGCCCGGGCTGTACTGGAGCTCACTCCATAGCCAGGCTGGCCTCAAACTCACAGAGATTCACCTGCCACTGCCTCCCAAGTGCCCGAGCTAAGATCTTTTTTAAAATAGAAAAGCATAGAAAATTAAAAACCCGACAAACAGGTAATTCGTGAACTGGGATGCTGAACTATCAAGAGTATATTAAAATGGTTCTTCGAGGCCCAGTGGATGTACCTGAGAGTCTCTAAGCACTGGGAAGTTGTCGTTGACATCTTTCACTTTAATACTACATTCACACTGAGTCGACAGGCCTGCGCCATCATTGTCTGTGCCACTCACAACCAGACGGTAGCTACCGATGCTCTGAATTGGGAGAAAAAGAGAACAGAGATCAATTGTTAAAGATCAGGGGCACTTTCTATGAGATAAGACAGTGATGAAAATATTTAAGATCATGACTCATGGCCTATTAATCCCAGTGTCGTCTCTGCTTCTGCACACCGGTGTCTTCCTTAGCTCTCCCATTTGAGGGGTTGTGCGAAAGGTTGTTGTTTACAGCAGAACCAAATGGAGGAAGATTCCTCTAGACTGTATCAGGCAAAGGCTAGTAGCTTCCCCCCTTCTTTTTGTGTCCTCAAACAAAACGGAGGCACCATGCTTAGGTTTAAACCATCAAATCTCTTATGATTTTTTTTTTGATGCTTCCAAGTAACTTGTTTTACCTCTCGATCAAGAGAACTGGTCAAAGTTCGGACTTCTCCAGTGTTTCTGCTGATGAGGAACATGGGCATGCCAGCAGGCTCTTGGGAGACGAGTTTGAAGGCAATTTTAGAGTTCAAATGGTTTGGCTCATCTGCATCCGTGGCATTTAGGATCATTACCAGTGAATCTAAGAATATAGGAAAATTGTCAAAGATTACATAAAATCCAACATTACATTCACATTAAGACTCAAAATAGTTTAGCATTGATTCCCACTATTTTTCCAAACTACCTGTTTGCTAAAACAAAACAAAACAAACAAAAAAACAAAACCCATATGTGTCACTGTTGCTGTCTCTTTCTAGAATTTGTTGGCTTTCAGAAAAATCTTCTAGTGCTCTCTCAGTCTTGGCTTTTTTAAGGTTGGGGCTTCTGTCTGGAGTTCTTCCCCAGATAGATGTACCTGCGTGTTTCCTTTTAAATATGATCCAAATAATGGGACTATGTCTCTGTCCATTATAATCTAAAAACATCAAGCTTGTGAATCCAGGTTGCTCAAGAGGCATCTTCATGTTTGGGACTCACACAGAAGGTGTGTGCCTAGACACTAACTTCGTAATGGGACTATAATCTACAGGTATAATTCTGATGGGTAATTGCTAAGAGTTAGTACAAAATTTGGAAAGGAAATCTCAGAATATCATAATGAATTTTTGGTTGTCAAACTACTGAGCAAACTAACAGAATAGTTTGTAAAAATGGTATAATGGTATATGTAATTGAAAGATGTGAATTGGAGGCAATTGACCTTGTAAGACTTACTTGAAGCGCTATTTTCTTCAATTTCACCCTGGAATATGGTTTGTGAAAATATCGGAGCATTGTCGTTGACATCTAAAATTTTCACTGTTAGTATGAGCGGTTTCTCTACATCTTGTCCCAAGACATTTAGAGCTCGGCATGTGATCTAGAAACACAGGGAGACTATCCATTATTACTGTATGGAGTTAGTCTGATTATTACAAAACCTCACAGATATTAGACCAGTGTTGGCATTTACAGAACTCAATGAACAAAGAAGAAAAGCATCTCCCCCAAGTGTGGGCAAAGGAGAGGGTCCCCACTCTTGCCATTGGTCCAGTTTCCCTTCCTTCAAGCTATTGCATTTTGACAGGATGATGTTCTGGGAAGCCCCTCCCCCCACTTCTGGTGTATTTTGCCATGGGCATGTACCACAGCGGGGAAGTTTTTGGTAGAGGGATTAACTTTATTCCTTGATAAACTAACCCATGTAATAATTCCTTCTCTTGCAAACCCACCTGGAGAAGAGCTACCTTCTAACTTTGAAAAGTACTTGGAGGATAGCTTAATGAGGACTCACCAGAAAGCTTGGGGTTTCTTCACGATCAACTATGGCTGTTATGTTAATATCACCATTGTTTGGGTCAACAACAAAGATTCCAAAAGGGGGCTGATCAATTCCCACCCCAGAAATTCGGTATGTAATTTTCTGGGTTGCTTGGAAATCTGAAGTGATCTGTAAGAAAAAAAAATAGCTTCAGTGTCGAGCTGGCCAGGGATGAGCCTTCTCCAGGCTCCTCCACGGTGTAAAGTCATCCATTCACTTGGCCCACCCTTTCCATTACTATGTGATTTATCCTGCTCTACTTATTTATTGGTGAGGATGAATAAGAAATCAAGTACAATTGTTCTGCTCATCAGCATGGACCAAGAATGAGCTATTTTGAGTGCTTGTTTGGGTTGTGGCACCATGGTGGGAAAGTTAAAATGTTGTAAGAAAACAGAGGGGGATTAGCTGTGGAAAAGCTTCCTCTGGATGCCCAATTCTTTTTTACCATTTAAAAGAGGATGCTTCCCTAAGTTGGAAGAAGAGACAACGAAATGGGGAAGGGAGAGAATAAGGTAACAGGTGTTCAGAGTACATGTGAACTCACAATTGGTTTTGATTTTTGTAATTTTAATGCCGTTTAACAGAGACAATAGTACAGTGTTCATGAGACAGCTCATTGTCCAGCTTCAATAGTTGCCCACTCACGGCCAAGCCAATGTTTACCCCCAGTCATCTGGTTGCCATCTCTCTCTATTTTTATTTTTGTTTAATAAAATCTGGATATACGCAGGCTTATACATGAAAATGAGCCAATATATTTCTTAATCCCATTTTATAACTCTACAGGCTGTCATTCCTATATCTTTTTTTATATTACTGTTATTATATTTTTGGTTGCACACAACAAACAGGTCGTTGTTCTGTGGACTTCCCAGGCTACATATTAGCAAGTGGAATTGCTATATTGTCTTTAATTTGTATGCAATACATGTATTCCAAGCTTCACACTGCTTCTGTCAGTATGACTTACCTTGGCAATTGGGTTTCTTTTGGAGTTGTCTTCTCTTTCTCTGCAGGGCTTAGCAAATTTTACCCATTCACGTTTGTACCTCCTTCTGACCTGCTGCACCGCTGTCCCATCTTCTCTGTGCTGTCCTCCCGGCTGTGTTGAAAGAGACCTCACTTTACCACATCTATGGCTGGTGGTCTTTGCTTTGAATACCCGCCATAGATAGGTACCTACGCCGAGAAACTTTGTCTTTCTACTTTGGTGACCATCCTTTGTAATGCTATATAAATCTGCTTCCTGACAATTATCAGGTGAACAGATGGTCACCTGATAATTGTCAGGAAGCAGATTTATATAGCATTACAAAGCTATGCGATCTTTAATATTACTATTTAATCATATTTGATTTCCCCTCATTTATTCCACAATAGGATTTGACTTGTTTATTTAAGGTAAGAAGGAAGGAACCAGACATAGTAGTATAGGCCTACAATCAAGCACTAGTGAAGCTAAGGCAGGAAGATTGCCAGGAGTTCAAAGCTACCCTGATCTACATAGTGAGTACCAGAGTAGGCAGGACTATCCAGAAGACCAGTTCTCAAAAGATCAGGGTCAACTAACCAACCAGCCAACCAACTAACCAGTTAATCAACCAACTAGTCAGACAGTCAACCAACCAACCAACCAACCAACAAGACCACATGAGATAATAATCATAATATTTATAGATAACCTTAAAATATTTTGGGTTATTTGCTAGAATTTTAGTTGTATGTATTTTCCCAGTTGAATTATGAAATAATGAGGTTAAGTACTTTTCTCACTATAACTTTCAGTTTTAACAGTGAACTGATTGAATGACACACACTGCATACTTTACCTCTATTCGTAACTCCCCGTGCACCAGCAGCACCACCTGTAGACATCAGACAGAAACAAACGTCTTGTGAGTTCGGCAAGCAGGTGACTGTCAAAAGCTAATAATCCTCATCATTGCACTCTGTTCTTAAGATTATAGCTCATTTCTAGTTTTAGAAAAGTTGGTTTGCAGAAGCATCCTAAAGCATAAAATCCTACCATGAAAAGGCACATTCTCCATATAAACAAGTTCCTCTAGTTTTTCAATTTGACTTCAGATTTTTAGAGATTTATCTGTTTTACTTTATGTCTGTGCATATTTTGCCTGCATGCATGTATGTGCACCACCTGTTGGAACCCCCACAGCTGGGGCTAAGGATGGCTGTGAGCTGCCGTGTTGGTGCTGGGAATTGCACATGGGTCCTCTGCTAAAGCACCCAGCGCTATTAACTCCTAAGATTTATCTCCAGTACCATGGCATCAGATTTTTATGGACAAAAAGAGAGGAATCTACCAGTGGTTAGAGGCTAAGGCTGGAGGAACGTAGTTTGAGACAAACCTGGGCTAACTAGTGAATGAAGATCAACTTGGACTCCAGAGTTAAGCACTGTCTCAAAACAAAGTGAAAACAAGGAAGGAGATTAATAGCTCCCACTCCAACCATCATCGTTACTCTCACTGCCACCATCACCATTTCCTTGATTGTAAAATTATGCTTTCAGACAGTATCAGTCACTAGATGTTTCTTACTTGGTTACCATATAAAAAGCTCCCAGAAGTCATTGTTTTAGGAATTGTTGTGGTAAACAGCTGAAAGTGGCCACAGAATTATTGAGAACTGCTATGTTGGGCATGGTGGCACATGCCTACAATCCCAGCATGTGGGAAGGTAAGGCAGGAGGGTTATGAAGAATTGGAGGACAGCCAGGGTGACATAGTAAGACTTTCTTTCAAAACACTAGGAAAAAAAAGCAACACCAAAATCACAATCCCAAGACCCAGTTATCTGTCCTGTGTGCTCATACAAAAGCAACCCGGATTAACTCCTTTTAAAGACAGGTTCTTTTGTTCCCCACTTTCCTCACTCCACACCACCTCCTCCTTTTAAAGTTGTTCTAGAGTGAGAAGAATATAACACAACTACTGTGGTTTATGAAAATGGAACTTTTTTCCTAAAAGCAGGGTCTGTCCTGTGCCGGTCTTAGGTGCTGCTTCCTGTGGGGCATGCATCTGCTCTTCTCCGTCCCACTGTAAATTAAACATGACACTTCATCCCAGATGGGTTTGTCTTCAGTCCCAGCACGCAGGAGACAGCGGCAGGTAGATCTCCGTGAGTCTGAGACTGCTCTGGTTTACATAGTGAGTTCTAGGCTAGGTGGAACTACATCGTGAGACCATATCTCAAACAAACAAGCAAACAAACAAGAGTTTCGCTGTATGCTATTGAATACTACTGGTATGAAAAGTTAAGTGAGGGTAAAGGAAGCTGGGCTGCCTAGGGCCTTTGCTTTCTCAGGATCTCACAGGCCTGGCATCTGTCTGTGTTGCTTCCAGCTGGAATGCAGTCCTCGCTCCTCACTGCCCACCTGCATGTGATTCACCCAGTCAAGCATCAACGTGCTGCACGAAGCAGTCTCAACCAACGCCTCCCTCTCTGCGTTTGTACAGCTCACATTCTCTTTAATGCCATGCGGCTCACAAATGCTCCCTGTATCATGAGTGCTAAAGAATTTCTTCATGAGCTTTCCAAATCCTGGGTCTTGCTTCTGCTACCATTCCTCCCCATCCAAGAGTTTAGCAACTATTTGCTGGTTCACTGAGGGTGGGATCTGAAGAAAAGAGGTCATGGAAAACAAATTATGGGATAAAATGCAAAGAGTAACAGTGGCAGGTGACTTGCCTGGCTTTTATTCACAGAACATTATACTCAATATTACTATTATTTTTGCAACCACCTAAAGAAGATTCTTTTATAGAACCCCTGTTTTATGGCTATATCGAGGAAAGAACATGAATATTTACTTTCTCCCTGCTTAACAACCCTTGATGAGCTAGGGTTTGAAACATAGCCATATTATCTTCAGGGTGTGTACATTGCCATGACACTAGATTCTAACCCCAAGCTAACACAGATACACCGAAGAAAGTTATATGACAGTAACTTAGATTTTTATCAGGGCCAAAGGCTGTGGTTGATCCTGAAACAATGTAGATTTATTACATCATTTATTTGTAAAGATTATAATGAACAGGCAGGTCCAAGTCTGAACCAAAGGAGCAATTACACTAGATACGGGATGATCAGCCCCTCCATTGTAAACACTTCACCTGAAACTGATTTTAAATAGCGGCTCAAGATAATTCCCCAGTATCATGCCGTCTTTTAGGAAAGAAGGGCCCAATGTGGTGTGGCCACTGATCATTCTTGTCTGATTGTGAGGGGAAGGAAGGGCTGGGCATGTTCCTCTTTACGGGAAAAATGGAGTCATCCAGAAAACATGAGTCATGTCAGTACTAGCTCCATGGGGAATGAGTCTTCCAGCAGGCGTTAGAGCCCTGGTCCTACGTAGCTTCCCAGGAAGGCAAAGCCGAGTCTACAGAGAAGTCACAGAGCAGAGCAAGGCTGAGGTATTTCCAGTGTTCTCACAGAGCCGGAGCCCTCGGATGACTTATTCTTTCTCAATATTCATTCTCTTCTTTTAAGACTGATCTCAAGGAGTGTCCCTTCATTTACTAGGTGCTTGTAGCAGCTGTGAGAAAAGCAGCTTACACAGCCACACTGCCCATTTCCGCAGCTGTGAGAAAAGCAGCTTAAAGACGTCAAAGTCCACCATACTCCCCACTGGGAAGTTCAGAGACTAACTTAGGTAACTAAAAGGAGTCATTACGTATTTCAAGTGTGATTTTTCTATTTATACCTTTTGGGCGAGAAATGTCATGAGATGCCCCTAGGTTGGTGTTTCACTGCTATAATTGATCAACTCGTCAGACACAGTGACTGAAAACATGTCAGACCATAGCAGTGCTTTAAGACACATTTGATAAATGAGTCACACAACCACAGTTCAGAAGAATGAGTGACTTATTCTTCTGGTTTCTGTGTGAAAGCTCCTTCACTTATGGTGTGCAGTGTCCTAATAACGCCACTGTAAGCTGGAAATACTAAGCTGCGCATGCGCCTAACACCTGTAATCCTCCAAACATCATCACTTAGCCTGCACGGTCAGAACACTTGCTTCAGTCCATGCTTGGGGCATCACCCAACACAAAGGCTGTTCTACAATGAAGCACTCAGCACTTGGTGTAATTTATTGGATTTCACACTGAAAACTGAAATGGGTTGTAGAAATATAGAGCAAAAAAAAAGTGTGAGTCAGGACTGTACAGATTTTTGAATTTTAAAGTCATCCTAATAATCTTTGTATTCATCAAGGCAAGTTCTCCAGCTGAATAATACAGATTAAACTATTTAGAAATTAGTATTTAATTGCAGACAATTCGATTTTTAAGAACTGATGTGTAAACTCAATTAATTTAGAAAACTGATTTTTTTAAAGCTAGGATGTGCTTTTTTGTTGTTGTGAGGATTGAACAATGAGCAGCTGTAAAGCATGTGGGTAGCCCAAGAGCACAGTAGGTGCTCAGTAAATGCTAGTGATTTCCGTTAGAGTAACAAGAAAAGGAAAGGGGTATCTCGAGCCTTTGATAGTATGCAGGGACTCCTTAAAGCAGTGCTCCATTGTTGCCCTGCCGGTGGGGACTGCTCCTGGCCAGCGTCATGGGTGCTGCTCACAGTACAATTCCCGTGAATGCACAACTCAAGTTGCACAATGCACATCCTGGGCAACTGTGCTGCTTTAAGAAAAAGTGTGTATTAAGCAGATTCAATTATCCGTCATGTAATTATGGACAACCCATCATCTATGTAATTTCCTCATGAGGCATTTCCCCAGCAAGCCCTCACCTTAGGCTACAGATTGGCTTTTTACTGGAAAGGGAGCACCAAGGGCTAAGAGGTTTACGAGAAACCTCTGGGACACAGAGTGTTCTAGTTAGGGCTGAGAACTGGTTTCTGGTATTAAGTAAGGGGGATGGCTAATTGGTAGGAATAATTGGGTCTCTACCAACTGCTGCCAAAGCCAGGCAGTGTTAGGCAGGGCTCCTGGCAAGGCTCCTCTGCCCTTGGAGTCTTGAATTTCAGAGAGGTTCAGTGGGGCTCATCATCAACAGTGGAAACAGCCATTTCATTGATCAAGAATGGAAAGTTCCCTTCTCACTGTGGTCAATTTAGAAAGGTAGGGGGCAGGGCGAAGGTGATTCTCTCTATATTATTATTTTTTGTTGCTTTTTTTGGAAACAGGGTCTCTCTACAGAGCCCTGGCTTTCTTGGAGCCTACTATACAGACCAGACTGGCCTTGAACTCACAGATCATCTGCCTCTGCCTCTTGAGTGATGATGGGGTTAAAGGTATGTGCTGCCATGCCCATCCTCAGTTGATTCTTGTTTGACAATAGAGAACCGAGGACCTGGAGTGAGTCAGTGGAACGGCTGCACACTCAAGCCTAGCTCTTGCTGTTACATATCACATTACGATGCTGTCATATGGTGTGTGTGTGAGATGGGAAAGGTACAGAAACCTCCAGACGTGTCTTTCAACTTTCAGACACCACCCTTCAACAACAAATGATGCTTTTTCCCCGTAACCACATTATGTCAAAACTCTGGGTGGCTCCCCTTTCTGAAAGGATTCCACTTGCCTTCACAGAACGAACCTTTCAATGTCACACTCATCAACCCTTTTAAATCGCACCCCTAGTCTCCAACACACACTTTCAGTCCAGTCAAACCAGTAGCTCCACAGCCCTCGGCAAAGGCCACAACTGCCTGCCTTTGCTGGTCTTGGTCTGACAATGGAACAGTTCGGTCTGTCTCCACGTAGGGAGTCTCAACTCCCACTCAATCCTCGGAGTCTCATCTGCCTAGCACCGCCCTCTGCAAGTGGAATTAGGATGCAGCTTTGCTTACTGCGAAGCACAATTGCCACTCACTTTAAATGGTTTTAAAGTTTCTCATACTTGCATCAAAAGGCTTGTTAAAAAGTTAAAGTTATTAGTGGTATATTCAGTTTAATCTACTGAAACTACTGTAATTTCAATATGCAATCAATTAAAAAAACTAACAATATCTCTTACACTCTTGTTATGTTGTGTGTTTCATATTTAACAGCATATCTCTTTTCAGAACAATTATATTCTAAGTGATAAGTAGCCATGGATTAAGGGCAGTGGCTACAATATTGTTCAGCTCACATCTAGACCCTTCATTTTTATTTCTCTCTGTCTCCCTCCCTCCCTCCCTCCCTCCCTCCCTCCCTCCCTCCCTCCCTCCCTCCTTCCATTCCCTCTCTTCTTCTCCCCCTACATGGGCAAAGCTTTACTGTATGTTGGCAAATGTCTTACGAATCCTAGCTTCCCATCACCAGCATCATAGCAGAACTGAAGGTCGAGTCACAGTAAAAGGAGGCCTTGTTCAATCATTGGTTCAGTTTTTGAAAAGCAGTGTGATGCCTGTTTTCTACTTGAGCACTGTCATATGAGGGAGAGTTGAGGCACTCTCCCACACAAAGGCATCTGTTTCGATGGCAAACAACTTTAATTTTCAGGCAGTTCTTGAGATCTAGCCCCTGTGACTTTGAGAGATCCCTATTCTATGTGGTTCGAAATGAGGCAGTGGCATGAATGGATACTGAGGCCAACTTTATCATCTACAATGAGGCAATTGACTTTGGCCATTTTTCCTATATTTTTTTTATATTCAAGCTTTTGGTGATCTTCATTTTTGAGATGAGTGATGACATGTTTTTGCCTCACTAATCCAATGATTAAGGCATAAGATAGCTTATAGTATCTGAGCTAATGTTTTCATGCTTGATTCTTCTTGTCATTTAGAAGACAACACATAGCATTTCCCCAGCCAACAGGAGAGTTACCCTCCTGAGCACCGTTCCCCGGTTAAGTTCACGTCGCCCCTCCCCAGAGGCCTGATACGGTTTGCACGTAGTGGCTAAATGTAGAACCGGTTTTCTTAATAATCCTCCTAACTTGTCTAGAGTCATATTTGCTTTGATTTTCGTTCAGCGGTTGGTGACTATTCTACAAACATGTCAGGTGTCAAGATCAGGCATGCAGAGCTCTTAGCCATTTGCTTAACAAGAGGTGTGCAATCCCAGAGAACAGAAGTGGCTGTGTTGTGCATGTTTCATTTGTGTGTTAGAAAAATGCACTGCCTTGAAGAAAATGAAGGTTGTGGAAAATAAAACCTAGGGTTGAGGTGAATTAATCTGATCACTGACGAAATATAAAATAACTGCTTTAAACAAACATCTTCCTGCTTTATACTTCTTTTCAAAATTAAACATTAAGAAAAACAAAAAAGGAAGGAATGTAAAAGCTTCACAGTTTTAGGGTTTACTTCTGCTGCATCCTTTTTAGAATGTACATCAGGGACTCAGCGAACAAATCCAGTTTTCTGGAGTAAGCAATGAAGTAGAGAAAGTTTACTAGTTTTAGAAAAAGATGGGACTTACCATCAGGAGGGCCAGAGGTCCCAGGACTCTGGGGAATGGGCAGGTCATTGTGGCTGGTGTCCCTGGTGAACAAATCCAAGCCTCTTGCTGCAGCTGCTCACCCGAGCGTCTGTAACCAATGTCTGGAGCACCCTTCTAGCAGTGGTGACTCTGTTGTCTGCCCTAGGACTCTCCTGGTGGCCTGCTAGTCTGTTCCTCCCCACCCCAAGCCAAGGATTGGTCTCAGCAGAAACGCTTGCATCACTGCCTCCCAGGTAAAAGCAGAGACACACCTCAGTTCCTAAAGCAATGAAATCCTTTGTTGGAAGCTACATGAGAAGTTCACGGGCTAAAGACAAGAGCTGAATAGGAAGGTACCAGATGAGTAACACACTAATCATGGCATGAAAGTACAAGAGCCAGCCCTGGCTACACTCAAAAATAATCTTGTTGGCTGCTTACGGTCACAGCTGAGAACTAGAAAGTAGAAGAGGAAACAGAAAATTCCCCAGATCTACTTGCAGAACAGCACTTGTTTCAAGACTGTGTATGGGGAAGGGGTGCATCTGGAAGGTCTATAAACAGCAAAGAAAGGAGAGCACCACAGCTAGCCACCACGAATGCAGAGTTTGAATGAAATCAATTAGAAATAAATATGCGTGGGTTGGGGTTTGAGGGGTATGATGAATGCATTGCAGAATCGGATTGCATTAACACTGAGGTGACATCCTATTGTGCCTTTGTTCACTTATAACTTAGGGAAAGCAGATTGACTGTCAGATAGGTTATCACAGTGCTCTCATAATTACTCTGTTGGTTTCCCGAGGCAGTCAGCCTGAACACTTCTGCAAGATCAGAAGTACTGCACCACCTGGACTGTACCCAGGTTAGGAGAGGAGCTAGCATGGTCCTCGTTGGTTTCACAATATCCAAAGAGGGATTTGAGGAAGAGTAGTTTTGAGTTTGAGAGTATCTATACATCATTTTAGGAAAGCATTTGTGTTCTACAGAGTTCATTTAATCCTAGAGCATTTAACAGAAAAGATCATGTAGGCCAGGAGTTTAAAAAATATATATATAGTAGGAAACATTTTGTCTTTGTTTCTTTTTAAATTGTGGTGAAATATTCAGGAATGTTACTATGAAATTTTTAAAAATTGCACTTACAGTGTGTGTGTGTGTGTGGTGTGTGTGGTCACAAGACAAGTTACAGAAGTCACTTTCTCCTCCTTCCATGTGGACCCTGGTGGCAGAACTCAGGACATCAGCCATGGCCATGCATGCCTCTATGGCTGAGCCATCCCTCCAGTCCTCATAGTCTCTGTACTTAAGGGTACAGCTCAGTGCTGTTAAGCACATGTACAGAGTTGTGTAGCTGTGATCCCTACTACCACCTCCAAAAGCTATTGTTTTTGACATAAAAGTTTTTGTGAATTGAAGGTTAATGGACACAGCCATGCCCACTTGTTTATGGTGAATGACTACTTTGGTGTTGGCATGGAATAGCTGAGTAAGGTTGTGTAATTATGCAGGAGACTGCATGACTGCAAAGACAAATATATTAACTGTCTGTCTTGTTCATTTGCTGATGTCTGGGTGATGCTCTAACGTGTGTGTGTGTGTGTGTGTGTGTGTGTGTGTGTGTGTGTGTGTATTTGTGTGTATGTGTAGTAGGGCAGAGGATGACCTTGGGTGTCAATCATAAGGTGTTATCTGCCTTTGACTTATTTATTTATTTTGTACAGGTTCTCACTATGTACCCCTTGCCTGGAATGGAACTCACCATGTAGACTAGGCAGGTCTTGAACTCAGAGAGATTCAATTGCCTTAGACTCTGGAGTGCTGGAATTAAAGGTATATGCTACCACACCTCACCTTCCTTTACTTTTTTTTTTGAGACAAGTTCTCTCCCTAGCCTGGAACTTACTGAGTAGGAATAGGCTAGGCTGCATGGCCAGTGAGCCCCAGGGACCTATCTGTCTGTGTCTGTTTCCCTGGCTCCGAGATTGCAAGCATGCTGCCGCATCTGGGTTTTGGGTTCTGGGGACTGGATTCGGGCTCCTGTGCTCACAAGGCAACCCCCTTAGCAAGGGAGTCATCTCCCCAGCCACATCACATACTTAAGCAGTATTTGTGACACGTCTGTTGGGCATTTGAGTCTGCAACAGAAAATAATTAGTGAACCTTTTAAAATCTGCTTCTGTTTGGAAAGGAAACTTCAAGAGGTCCAGTTTGGCATTCCTTGTGGAGTTTCCGCCATCATGATTCCAGAAAACGTGTTTTGTGCACCTTTGGACTGAGGGCCTGAGACACAGGACAGGGTCTTTGGACACAGAGGTGGTTGTTCTGTGACCAGATGGGAGCAAGTGTGAGTGGACAGAAGGTGAAAGGGGATTTATTGCATTTGCCAGCGTTCTGTGCAGGGCTTACGGAAGTGAGCGACTGTTAGGGGCCTTCTGAATTTAGTGTGAACTTAGTTAAGGGTGTGGAGAGTCTCGGGTCTTATGCCTACACACGTTTGTTCACACAAGGAGAAATTCAGAAGAATGACAAAGCAATAGAAAGGATCATATTACCTTCAAGATTATGAGTGTTTTATTTATTTTGATTACATGCTGACTTATTTGTGATTTTGTTTTTGTGATGAGAATCTTTACCACTCTACTTTGTTTGGTTTTGTTTGAGAAAGGATCTCACTATATAGCCCAGACTGGCTTTGAACTCACGGTCTTCCTACCTAAGGCTCCTCTGTGCTCAGACTGCAGATGGGAGCCCCCACATCCAGACTGAGATGTATTGGTTTCGCAATTAAAAAGGCAAAATTCTTAAAAAATAATGTGAAAAAAACAAGCAAGGTTTTGTGAGTAATATTCCAAGCTTATAGGCAGGGAAGAAACGACAAACCAAGTGTTTTCCTTTTTCTCCCATGATTTAATATCTTACAATTCTCTAGATTATTCTTGAGTTAATGTCAAAGGAAGCCACAAGCAGATGAGGTTCTCTGAATTTTTTTTTGTCTCTGTGTCTTTAACTGTTCCTTTATATTTTATTTTACTATTCTGGGTTACATAAAGCAAATTTCATGCAAGTGTATAATATACTTGGGTCATGTTCTCCCATGCCCCAGAACCCTTCTCTTTTCTCTATAACTTCCCCAGACAATTTCACCTCTACATTAATGCCATCTATGCATATATGATTTTATGTATCTCTATTAAATCTAGGACCCACAAATGAGAGAAAACATGTGATCTTTGTCTTTCTGAGATTGACGTAATTGCCTTAACAGGATTATCTCCAGATGAACCAATATTTTGGCAAATGATATACCTTCATCTTTCTTTATGACTGAAAAACATTCCATTGCATATATAGACCATATTTCATTTACCTGTTCTTCTGTTGATGAACACACAGGCTGGTTCCATGACTACGTTATTGTGAAAAGTGGTTTAGTAAACATGGAAGATAAGAATTGCTGTGATACGTTGACTTGGAATCTTTCGGGTTAATATGCAGAGCATAGTAGCTTGGTTATATGGTAGATCTACTTTCAGTCTTTTGAGAATACTCCATACTGACTTCCATAGTGTCTGTGAGCCCATGCACACATCCTGTTCTTTGAAAGATGGGCCCTTTAGCAAGGTAAGGAAGTACCCTGGCCGTAGCCCTGGTTATTGTGGTTGCAAAAGTAGTCTGGTGGGTGATTTTAGGTGGTCTACACTTAGTGGAGCTTTTTCTTGCTGTTTAATTTGTGTTTGGGGTAAAGAGATCATGAACTATCATGTGGTGTTGGTAATTTGAACCCGGGTCCTCTGGAAGAACAGTCAGTGCTCTTAATGACTGAGTGTTTTCCAGTGCTTTCTGTGTGAGCTATGGTGTTGTTATTCTTGGGATAATGGCTTGGAAACCCAGATGTAGCTTGAACTGGCTCTGGATCAAGAAACTGAAATCAAAATGAGAATCATAAGAATAACAATTAAAGAGGAGCTCCACTGTATGTGTTGGTTGTGCCCCAACTAATGTACCGTATGAAGACAGGAGAGGTTGAAAGCAGATCCAGCACAAGCTGAAGAATTCATCTTTTCTTTGCTGGAAACTGAACCTCAGAACCCAAGCAATGAAAGTGAACATTTATTCAAGTGGGCAGAGTCTCCAGAAGTTTCCATGTTGTTCTTGAAGCTCATTATCTACAGTAGCTCCCTTACCCATCAAGTATAGAACTCTAATTAGACTTTGGCTTCCCTGGCTAGTCTTCACCGACTTCCATTGCTTCCACTGGGAATGTGTGTGTAGTCTATGTCACATTTCCTACTTTTTTGATGCTTCATTGTGCTTGAATGAATGTTCACAAATTCACAAACTGAGATTCGTGCTGCGAATCGTAAATGTACCTGCATTTTGATATGGCTTGCAGAAGCGTGGGTCTCTTGTCTTTTGTTATTCAAGGTAGTGGGGACTGTATGCCTCGTCCATTCTGATCATCCAGGGGAGGCATCCAGACATGCCAGGGAGTCTGATTGTGTGACTGAGAACAGCATGTATTTAATTCGTGGGAACTGATCTGTTGTTCTAACAATGCTTCATCATGCTTCTGCAATTCTTAGGAATATTTTGAAAGAAAGCATTATGCGATTGTTTTTGTGCTTGTGGTGTTAAGGATTAAACCCAGGACTTTGCACATGCCAACTGAGCAACTCTACTACTGAGCTACATGCTGACTCCAGTCCAGACTTCACAGGGTAAATATGCATTTAGCAACGAATGTATGCTGGGGACGAGGTCAGCATCTCTTTGCTCTGATGCGCTGATTTAGCAATTGCATACTAGCGAGGATGTTTTTGTAAGATAATAAAATGTATGAGTGAGGAATTTTCCAGATGAACCTCAATGCTGTTTTAGAATAAACTTTTCCTTGGTTCTTGTGACTTATTAGAGGTAAAACTGACAGACTTGAGTACTTTTACAAACATGTTTATTGAAGTCATGAATTCCTTTTCTCTCGAAGTCACCCTAGCCAAGTTCCTAGCACATGTCATATGGCAGAGGTAAGGTCTTCCAATTTTGTTTTTGCTCAGGTCACCACTCACTAACACCCTACATGATATTTTTAAAAAGATGCTGTCTCCCATGCTGGATAGTGGTGGCATATGCCTTTAATCCCAGCACTTGGTTTCCAGGTCAGCCTGGTCCAGGATGGCTAGAGCAGTACAGAAAAAACCCTGTCTTGAAAAAACAAACAAACAAATAAAACAAAACGAAATCCATGTATAAGTTCCTGGACAGACCACCAATAATACAGTCACTAAGATCAGCAATTGATAAATGGGACCTCATGAAACTAAAAAGCTTCCATAAGGCTAAAAACACCATCAATAGGACAAAACTGCAGCCTTCAGAATGGGAAAAGATTTTCACCAACTTCACATCTGATAGAGGACTAATATCCAAAATATGCAGAGAACTCAAGAAACTAGGTCTCAAAGAACTCAAATTATCCAATTAAAAATGGGGTACAGATCTAAACAGAGAATTCTCAGTGGAAGAATCTCAAATGGCTGACAAAACACTTAAATGTTCAAATTCCTTAGTGATCAGGGAAATGCAAATTAAAATTACTTTGAGATTCCATCTTATACCTATCAGAAAGGGTAAGATCAACAACACGAGTGAGAGCTTATGCTGGAGAGGATGTGGAGCAAGGGGAACACTCCTCCATTGCTGGTGGGAGTGCAAACTTGTACAGCCATATGGAAATCACTATGACAGTTCCTCAGAAAGTTGGGAATGGAGTTACCTCAAGACCCAAGGATACCTACTCTTGGACTTATGCCCGAAGCATGCTCCATCCTACCACAAGGACACCTGTTCAAACATGTTCATTGTGGCTTTAGTCATAATACTCAGAAACTGAAAACAACCTAGATGTCCCTCAACTAAAGAATGGATAAAGAAAATGTGGTACATTTATGCAATGTAGTTTTACTCAGCTGTTTAAAAAATGACAGCATGGGCATGGTGGTGGTGGCACATGCCTTTCTTTAGTTCCAGAACTCAGGAGGCAGAGGCAGGTGGATCTCTGTGAGTTCAAGGCCAGCTCAGCCTACAGAGAAACTCAAAAAAAAAAAAACAAAAAAAAGTGATAACATGAAATTTGCAGGCAAATGGAAAGGAACTAGAAAAGAAATCATCCTTAGTGAGGTAATGCAGACCCAGACAGACAAATACAATATGTACTCACAAATAGATATCATCGGTTAAGTAAATGATAATCAAGCTATAATCCACAGACCCAAAGAGGATAGATAGAGATGGAGGAAGCTAAGCGGTGGAACACATGGATCTCTCTGGGAAGGGTAAATAGAATAAATTTTTTGGGTGGACTCGGGGTGGATGGGGACAGGAGTGGGGTGGGGGAATAAGATGGAGGGAGAGAGTTGATGGTGGCATGGTTGGAACTGGGGAGCATTTGGGGGTGGTGTGGAAACCTAGTACAGTGGAAACTTCCTGGAATCTATGAGGTGATCCTAATGAGGATTCCTAGTAATGGAGGATACATTCTGAACTGGCCATCTTTTGTAGACAGGCAAGGCTTCCAGGGTTGCACTCCACTGAGTTGTTTGCCAATGTGGTCCTATGGAGATCCCTAAACTTCCCAGACTAATGCTAGGACAGATAGTGGGCTGCCATTGCTGAGGACAGCAGCCACACAGCATATAACTTAGAGAGGCTGAGCTGGTGCTTACCTGGAGCCTTCACCCCTACATTCTAGTCTCTTTGGTGTGGGAAGATAATCTGCAGGTTACTGAAAAAGAAAGCTGGACACCAACCCAGCCACACAATGTTCAACCTACAACCTGTCATCCTTGCAAGATGTGCTGGGGGAATGATGGCACAGAATTGGAGGGAGTGGCCAACCAATGTCTGACCTACCTTGAGGACCATGCCTTGAAAGGGAGCCCATTCTTGACACTGCTTAGATGACCAGGAACCAGAGACTGGATAGCTCAGAGGCTTATGATTGGTGCCTTGTCCTCCAGCAGTCATCAGAGAGGCTTCCTCCAGCAGCACATGAGACCCACAGTCACACATTATGCAAAGAGTCTAAATTGGATGTGTCCATGAGTCCTTTCCCTTGGACCTTTAGGGAATCCCACAGAAGAGGGGGAGGACATACTGCAGGAGTCAGGGGGTAGTGGAGGACATGAGGAGAACATGGCTCACTGAATCAACTAGTCATGGCTCCCAGAGCCTGAAGTAGCAAGCACAGACAGAGCCTGCATGGGTCTGCACCAGGTCTATGTTATGTCTGTTAGCTTGGTATTTGTGTGGGACTCCTAACAGTGGAGTCTCTGACTCTTTTGCCTGCTGTTGGGAGTCTTTTCCTATTGGGTTTCCTTGTTTACCCTCAACATAAGGGATTTTGCCTTGTCTTATGCTTTGTTTTGTCCTGTTTGGTTGTTGTCTCTTGAGGAGTATTCTCTTCTGAAGGCAAACATAAGGATCTGAGGGGGTGGGGCTCGGAGAAACTGTGGTTGGGATATATAGTAAGAAGGATGAATCTATTTTCAAAAAAAAAAAGATAGTGTCTCCTTGTGTATCCAAAACAGAATCGAATCTACCTGTTGTAGCTTTAAATACCACAGGAGTCTTGACTTTTACTTTCTATTGGTTGAACTGTACCAATATTATTACTAGCAATTCTTAGAGTTTTAAAAAGTAACTTATGTGAATTAAATTAAATCTCTTCTTCCAAGGGAAGAAATAACAAGTGTACTATTCTACTGGCTTCTCAACCCCATACTGGAAGATGTAGTGACCACTGGTCAGCACCTGGGCTCTCTGTCATGTCGCAGAGGCTGATGTGTGGAAGGATGCTGTCTGTAAGCAGCAGGGAGCGTTGAGAAGAAGCCATCTAAAGGTCTCAGTTTTCAGTGTAGTGGAGACAAGCCAGCTCTTGCATGGCAAGGCAAGGGCATATATCTAACTGCAAGTAACGTGTCATACTTAATTCTTCAAGGTCTGTGCATTTTTTATTCAAGACTCATGTATGCCTGTCTTTTTACCCAGTGAGGTATGGGCATCTGTACTTGAGTGATTAGTAAGTTCTCAGTGGATTTGCAAGACCTGTAAAACTTGCACAACTCACTGTGCTCTGTGATTTTTCTATTATATCCTAACCAGAAGTTATGAGACACTTCCTGAAACCATTAACTGGCAAGAACAGAAATTTCAAAAGTATTTTGTCACTTCTGCCTCTCATGGGACAGAATGACACTACCTCATGAGAACCTACTTTGCATTCACTTTGTGGTTGGGAAAAATGTTGATCTACAGCTTGGGATATGTTTGGTTACCTTTCTTTGCCTCGTCATCATTGTTCTATCCATTGGCATTAAGGGTAGACTCCATTGTCTACTTAAATTGTTAGTGAACATGTCTTAGCGAGATATGTTGGTTAGTCTACAGAAATTTCCTATATTATTTCATATTGCTTTGCTTCAGACTATGATTATAGTTGACTTTCTTTGTTTAAAATTCTCTAGGATCCAAAGGGTAAGAGCATCTCTCAAGGAACAATCCTTATAGTAGGAGTTTATATTCTTTTATCCAAGATGGGCACAGATGCAGCGTGTGTGGCGCCCTTTCTGGGAATCTGATCTCAAGAGGGATGAAAGTAGAGAAAACTCTGCCTTTCTCCTCCTTCACCTCATGGCTGCTCCATTAGTCATGTTAGGGTTAGTTTCTGATGCATTAGACAAAAGACCAATTTGACGGCTGGTTGTTCTCATCCCTCATCTTGTGCAATATTGTGGCTTAGTACTAATCTTCCATTCTCTGTTGCAGAATTGGACTGACACATTCTTAAGACACCCTTTTATTGCTTCAGAAATAGAAGAGGAGCAGTGCAGGCTGGTTGGGAACCACTTGGATGAAGTGGTGAGCTCAGGTTACTTATCCTCTAGGTAAGTGTCCGTGCTCTAAATGACCTCATCATTCAGCCAGTCTACCAATGTTTTCTTATTTTTGAAAAGGAACTCCATTTTCATAGTTAGTATTTTCATAGGAATCAAATGATACATTCAGTGTTTTCACATTTATCATCACATATTTGCATATGGTATTAATTCCTAGAAGCATTTAAGGGAGTCATAGAATAAATGCTAAAAAGTAACTTTCCTGTGGAATAAGGATTTAGATAGTGACATGAGAAAAATAATCTATTGAGAATCTTAGCTAAAAGTGATCAAATATATGGAAGCAATTGTCTTTTTTTTGGAGACAGGGTTTCTCTGTATTACTTTGGAGGTTGTCCTAGAACTCGCTTTGTAGACCAGGCTGGCCTCAAACTCACAGAGATCCGCCTGTCTTTGCCTCCCGAGTGCTGGGATTAAAGGCATGAGCCACCAATGCCCGGCTGGAAGTAATTTTCTTGAGGATGCACAGAAGATCATTAAAGAAGGCTATAAAATGAAATAAAATAATAGTAAGTCATTACATTCCTGGGTGAAACAAATCACTGCTGTAAAGTAACTGTTCCTTTTTTAAAAATCTGTCTGTGTCTTCCAGGACTGACTGGCACTGACTTTGATTTTCATCACCTACTCGGGCCAGCTCACAGTTCCCTGGAACTCCAGCCCCATGGAGATGCTCTGCCTCCACAGGGACCTGCGGTCATGAGCACGTGCCCCTCCTACATGCTCATGATTAAAAATAAAAATAACTACGTTAAAAAAAACCCTACTGCTTCTGAACTCGGGGCTCTCGTGGAAGACTTTGGATACAGCAAGGCTGACTTTGCTTCCAACTCCTTCTTTGTTCCTGTTACAGGTAGAAGAAGTAATAATCTAGTTGTGAGCTTGGGAGAGGGTGTCAAGTTGATTCAGCCACCATAACCTTGTCTCCATAGTTCCACATCTAAAGCTTTCTTTAGGGAGCTATACTGATGAGCAGACACATGCTAACCTTATTCTAGCTGTAAGATCAGCAGGACACACTCCATATATTGGTAGTGCTAGTGTGGACTGCATATGGCCAGGGAAATCATATTCTGAGATGGGAGTTAGCATGCAGCTTATGGTTGTCTCTCTCACCTGTATCAATCATCATTTAAGTTATATCTGATACTATTATTTGTCTATTACTTTTGCTTTCTTTCTCAGTTGCTCCCACTATGTAAAGGTGAAAAACATTGGTGCTCCAAGTACTTGATGAGGATGGCATTGCTTCACAAGCAGATAATTAAGAGAAACAAAAGGCAGGAAGGAGAATTTTACAAACAATAAAATGAATTAATTTAAGATATCTCAGTTGACTTTCTGGGATATGTTTTGAATCCTATTGCATAAGAAGACGAAGATATAAATTTGTACATATTTTTACATGTATTAGAATGTTACTATATATATGTATATGTATATATATACATATATATATATGCTTTATGTATTGACAAATGATTGCTTGACTAAAGAGATAATGTGAAGGATAAATGCTAAGCTGTTAGCATGAATTTTCACATTAAATATCCTTATTACTATATATTCCATATGGGGGAAGGGTCATTCTATTAAGAAGGAAATGGAAAAGATCTCACTGGAACTGCTTATCACTATTTCACTTTTATGATACTATCTTAATTTATTTATTAGTACATCACATCTATTCCCTGTCATAGTTAGGGTTTCTATTGCTGTGAAGAGACACCATAAGCATGGCAACTCTTATAAAGGAAAAACATTTAATTGGGGTGACTCACGTCTTTAGAGGTTTAGTCCACTGGCATCTTGGTGAGGAGCATGGTAGCTAGGAGTAGGCAGACACTATGTTGGAGAAGGAGCTGAGAGTCCTACATCTTGACCCACATGTTGGCAGAGGTTTGTCTTGCCAGCAGTTCCCAAATAAACACACAGAGGCTTATGTTAATTACAAATTCTTGGCCAATAGCTCAGGCTTATTACTAGATAACTCATATTTTTAATTAACCCAAATTTCTTATCTATGCTTTGCCATGTGGCTTGGTACCTTTTCTCAGCACGGCACGCCCATCTTGCTTCTCTCTGTGTCTGCTTGTGACTCCTCCGACTCGGTCCTTTTTCATCCCAGCATCCTTAGTTTGACTGTCTTATTAAACCAATTTGAGCGACAAATCTTTACAGTGTACAAAAGAATTATTCCACAGCAGTACATGCAACAGGAAGTGGTCTGAGACACTGGACATGGCTTGAGCATATATGAGACCTCAAAGCCCACCCCCTACAGTGACACACTTCCTCCAATAAGGCCATATCTACTCCAACAAAGCCACACCTCCTAATGGTGCCACTCCCTATGAGCTTATGAAGGCCACTTACATTCAAGCTACCACATTCACGTATGCCAAATGTAATATATGCATCTGAAAAATAAAGTCCCAATGATGGTACGCCGAGGATTTGGGCCAGATGTCAGTCTCTCAAAAGGCCATCATCACTATGTCATGGAGCATTTTGTAACTCATCAGGAAGTAGGATAATCACCTGGAAGTACCTCACTGGTGGACTGGAAGGAAAACAAACTTATGTACCATGATCCTAGGTTTCTAAAATCATGGCCATGATTGGAATGTCAAATATCTTCGGATTTGTATGTTTCTCATAGTGGGGTTTTTATTTTGTCTTTGTCCCCATTTCCCGGCTCATGAACTGAATTTGCCCTTTTGTCTTAGACCTGTCCCTAAAGCAGTTCTTTGACCTATCTTTGCACAATGGCTGGTTGTAAGATTCCCTCCTCATCCCACAGTGGTTCTGAGCATGTCCAGCAGGAAGGCGTGGCATTCAGAGATGCTAAGAAAAAATGTTGAAGTGGACACACCCAGTCTGTTAGCACTTGTTCCTACACAACGAAGTCTGCAAAAAATACATAAGACTGGACCCAGAGTGCCTCTGGACTCTTATTAGGGGGACGATAGAGCCATCAAAGAGGGTCTAGGGGCTTCTCACTACTCCCAGACCTTACCCTCTTCATCTCTGTACCTGTGTCCTTCATAACATCCTTTAAAGAGAAACCTAGTAAATGTTTTCCTGAGTTCTGGGAGCTTCAGGAGCAAATTAATAGAACCTGGAGGATGAAATTGATTTTTAACTGTTGGGTCAGAAGCAAGGGATCTGTGACTGACGTTCAAAGCATGTGTGGGTAGCTTGGGGACCCAGCCCTCAACCTCTGAGGCTGACACTGGCTGAATTGGTTTGGCAGGTACCCCAAGTTTCTGCTGAAGATTTGCAGATGGCTTGCTTGCTGCTGGCTAGCAATCCCCCTGACCCCACAGTCACAGAAGTGTTCTTTGTTGATGTTTGTGGCATGGCAGTGCGGAAACATGACAGCTTTACTGCCAATTTTGTGTCCGAATTTCTTCTTTTCCTTTTTCTGATTCTCCTCCACTCCTCACCTCTCTGACACAAGGTCTTGCTGTATTGCCCAGGCTAGGTAACATTCACTGTAGGGGCTGCCATTCTCTGTGTGTTTGAAATGTATGATGTCACGTTATCATACTGGGTATTTCCAAGGGTCTAAAAGTGTCTGCGCTCTGCTTATTTATCTTTCTCTCCTCTCAACCTCTAATAGTCACTATTCCCATAGTCTTACCTCTTTCGCAGTGTCACATAGTTGGAATCACACATCATTTAGCTGTGTACAGGCATCAACGGAAGCCAGGAGAGGGTGTAAGGTTGTCTGGAACTGGAGTTACAGACAATTTTTGGATGCTATGTGGGTTCTGGGAATGCAGCTGTGCCCTTTGCAGAAACAGCATATGCTCTTAACTGAAGAGTTATTGCTACAACCTCTCTCATTTTTTTGTAACTTGCATCATTATTTTCTTATTCCCGCAAGAGGCTCATCAATTTTATTAATATTTGTAAAGAGCCAGTTTGTGATTTTATTGGTTATCTTTATTGCTTTCTTGTTTTTTATTTTGTTGATTTTTGCTCTAATTTTTTAAGAGTAAAGTTAAACTTTACAGTAATTTTTTCTATATACAAAGAATTACAGTACATGTTTATGGGGACTCCTAACACAGGGTTCCCCTCTTTTTTACTAGGAGGTTCACTTCCAGCTGACAATCTGTTGGGAGGTGAGAGAACAAGGTGATGAACCTTGGCTGAACACTTTTCCCCACTTAAAAAAATAAAGCTTTCTAGTCAGCCTTCTTCGCCAAGACCTAAAAAGCTACTTTCTCACAGCTCCTAGGTGCTGCACTCACCCGACTTCCACACTCTCCTACATACATAAGGTGGCAACACCACAACCTGGAGCCCACCCACTGTTCATCCCAGAAAACACCACCAGGACCCTTGGCTTCTGCTCTGCTCCCTGTGTCTGGTCTGCCTCTGTCAGCGCTGTGGTGAGCTCCAATTTTTGCTCTAATTTTAATTATTTCTTTTCTTTGGATTCAACTTGTACTTCATTTTGCAATTACCTTTTCTCTGTTGTTGTATTCTTCATTTTTCCTTTCTCCCCCCCTCTTCCTTCTCTTTCTTCTTTCTTTTTTCTTTCGTGTTGAGACAGGCCTTGTTACATAGCTCAAGTTAACCTTGAATTCACAATCCTCTGTCTCTGCCTTCAGAAGGTTGGGATCATGTGTGTATGCCACCACAACCAGTTCATTTTGGCTATTTATGTTAGAAACTAAGATTATTGATTTTAGATTTTTCTCCTTATTGAACATACCTATTCGGTGCTATAAATTTCTCTCTAAATACGTCTTTCTCTGCACCTTACAGTGTTTTAAAAGTTATGCTTCATTTAGTTCAAAATATTTAAAATTGACATTTCTTCTTATACTCATGTATTATTGATTTTTATAATTAATAAATAAAACTACAAATGTTTGTAGAAAATTTGCCGCCAAATTCTAAGATTACCACTGTTCACCCTTCAAAGTACATATGTTGTCTGTAAAATAATGACATCTTTGCTGGGTGTTTGGGAGAGAGGATGCGATCACTAAATAAGTATCTGAAATAAAAATCTTCACACTTATTCATTTTTAGAAGTATTAGTCAAATAACATAAAATATTAAGATTGATCTAATTTTTAGGTTGCCCTACATTTTGTTAACACGTGTATTTGCACAACTGTGCGTTTGTAAACATACTGATGTTTCTGAAGGAAAAGAAAATCCTTATACATAAGCATGCAAAGAGCAGGGAGGACACAGCATATTCTGCTTCCCTTTCTTCACACGTTCATACAGTCTCTTCCCATTGCTTTCGTATTACATTCTCTCTTAGAACAAGAGTCTACTGTACGTGCTGTTTCGCCTTTTGCTTTTTTTCTGTGAACGGTCTAACCCTCTCTCTGTTATTGAACATCTTCTGCTGTGACACTCCGTTCTTATTTAGATTTCAAATCAATACAAATAACCAAAACAAAACTTTTAGAGTTGGTTTGTCCAAGCCAAGGGTGTGATTCAGAGGCACGGTCCCACCTCAAATGTTTATGCTGTGGTGGTTAATCTCAGGTTGAAGAACCCCAGAAGAGGGCATCTCAGCGGAGAAATTGCCCCATCAGATTGGCCTGTGAGCAGGAGGCATTTTCTTGATTGCTAATTGACATAGTAGGGTCCAGCCACGGTGGGTGATGCCATCCCTGGGCAGGCAGGTGGTCCTGGGTTCTATAAGACAGCAGGCTGAGCAAGCCAGGGGGAGCAAGCCAGGAAACAGCAGCCCTCCATGGCCTCTGCATCAGCTCCTCCTCCAGGATCCTCCTACTCTGATTTCCCATCTGCAGTGATGGAGTCTTAACTTGTAAGTCAAATAAACCCTTTTCTTCCCAAGTTGCTTTAGGTCAGTGTTTTATTACAGCAACCGAAAGCAAACCAGGACACCGCAGTAGCCTCTTCCAGGACACTCTTTGAAGTCCTCACCTTTTGCATGTCTGAGTCAGTTATTCCCACAGATGCCCCGTTTTTGTGTTGACCTCGAAGTCGAGTTTACCTGCTGCCCCATCTTGTACTATTCCCAATCTTCCCACAATTCCCCTTTCCGTTTTGTCTCTACGGATTCATTAGATTCAAATCGAATGCTTTGATGAATAATGCATTCTATCTACTTCATTTTGCACCATGTCAGCTCTTTAGAGATAACAGGCTGCTTTCCCTGCTTTGGTCCACTGAACATTCCCAGCATCCTTTGCTGCCATTCCCAGCATCCACCTTATTTCCAGACCGCAGGCAGCGGCAGGTAGCACTTTCCACCACTTTGTTAGCCACTACCCAGATTCAGATCAAGACATGTCTTCTTCAGGTTCCTACCTAAGATCATCCCCGAGGGTGGAACCCTGTGTTTGCATGCCCAGAGTCCTGGTAGAACTTTCTTCAGTGCTATACTGAAAAGCTTGCTTAAGAGTTGATCTCTTAAGCCCAGCACTTGGGAGTCAGAGGCAGGGCAAGCTCCACGAATTTGAGGTCAACCCAGGTCCACGTGGCCAGGACTGCATAGTGAGGCTCCATCTTAAAAAAACAAAGTTGACTTCTCTAATTAGTCTGTACTATTCCCCAGGGGTAGGGACTATGCTTTGTTCCTCTTTGTACCCTGAGTGCCAAAAGTCAATACCGTTGAACAGCAGTGGAGCTTGCACAAATTTAAGGTTCACGGCTCTGAGGATGATGTTATACGGCTGGAGTCTCCAGAGCAAATCTAAGATCAGGGTGAGAGATGCCACATCGGAGTGTAGGATGGGGCCGGTCTCAGCACCTGGAAGCTGTTAGCTCAGCAGTGTTTGGAAAAACCAAATGAAGAAGATCCAAGCAGTTCTAAGCTAGGCTTAGCTAGAGAAAAACAAATGCACGAAACAGAACTAGGAAATCTGGAGCAGAAATGGAATAACCCAGGGAGAATCAGAACAGGCCGCCATGTGGTCTTTTCAAGTTCTGATCAGGAAGCCACTTTATTTCTCAGAACAGGGACTTCACCCATGCTGAGAACTGGATGTGACCTGCTTCCTGGTAAGTTGGAGAAGGCTGGGCAGACTTGGGTGCGGCGGGATCCCTGGCAGGCAGGTGAGTACAGCCTACCACACCCTCAGGGCACACCCTTCTTTCTCTGAGGCAGGTGAGTCTCTCCTTGATCATTCTCCCTCTTTTCCTTTCATCTGCTTCAGTCTCCCCGTCTCTGTCTGTTCTCTAATCTTTTTCTCTGTGTTATTATGTCCCCATTTTCTTTTCCTTCGTGTTTGTTCCCACTGGGAAAATGGCAGAAGTGAAATCCATATTCATCTCAGAGGGAAAGTTACCTTTCATACATATAATTGAAAAGATAGTTGCCCTCAAGCAACATTTTTTTTCATTTTTGAGAGATCAGTTAGTTACAACTCTTGATACTCATTTAAAACCATAAAAACTTAACCTGATAAATGGCTAGCTGCTGAGGGTAGGGGTGTGGGTGGGTTCGGATGCTCTGAGCCTGAGCTCAATAAAAGCTGAGACACTAGGGCCCAGGTCCCCTCTTCTCCAAAATCCAGAGTGGCAGACAGAGAAGGCAACAGGGCACCCACCCACCAAGGAATGCCAGTCTCCAAGGAAAATTACCCTTCAGGGCCCAGCTGCTCCTGTCTTCCCAGAGTGTTATTTCCTACTTTCTCTGAGTGTCCTGGGGGAGAATACTACCCAAGAAGAACATCCCTCAGAGTTGATTTCTTTTTTACCAAAATGCCTGGGATGCCTCAAGTGACTGTTATATCACAAAACTTCTGTTATCTGGCCAGACATAAGAGAACAAGGTCTGGGAAGTTAGTTCAGTTGGTAGAATCCCTGCCACGTTGCAATGAAGACATGAGTTCAAACACCAGAAACCATGTTGTTTTGGGGTGGCACATGATCACGTGTGCTTATAATCCTAGTACTGGGGAGGCAGAGACAGGTGGGGCTTGATGGCCTGATAGCCTAGATAGCCTGGTGAGTTCCAGACCAGCGAGAGACCATGTCTCCCAAAATAAAAAGTGAATGGTACCTATGGGAGACACTGTCAAGGTTGTTCTCTAGTTGGTACACGACCATGCACAGTGTGCACCTACCCATTGACATGCACACACATACACACACACACACACACACACACACACACACACACACACACTGAGTTGCTGAACCATTTTATACCTAGAGACCATGTTGTTGGAGAAACTCGAATTCTGCAGGTGATGAAAGCCAGAAATGGGATGCTCTACTATCTAATTGCTAGTTGTGAACAGAACAGGGGCCTGAATCCCATGCCTGGTTTTGAGGTTAAGGTGACAGAGTGCCACTGGATAATGAGATCAAGAACCCTCCTTTACAACTGCAGTGTTTCATGCCCAGGAAACCAAAGATGACAGAAAAAGAATCAAAGTGAATTTGTGTTCATCTACACCTGCAATCCCAGCACTGTGGAGGCGAAGGCACAAAGATCTGTCCTGGGACAGCCAGAGCTGTGTAGTGAAAACCTGTCTAAAAAAGTGTGTGTGTGTGTGTGGTTTAATACAAATAAGGGAAGAAATATGTACCTTCAGCTCATGGCATCTTTTGAATGGTCTCCTGGGGAGCAATTAGCATTGGCCCTTGGTGGATACAGATCCCAGAGGACTCATTTTTTTTCCAAGACAGGGTTTCTCTATGGATTTGGAGGCTATTCTGGAAGTAGCTCTTGTAGACCAGGTTGGTCTTGAACTCACAGAGATCTGCCTGCCTCTGCCTCCCAGTGCTGGGATTAAAGGCGTGTGCCACCAATGCCCAGCTTCATTTTTATGAATTCTTCTCTTGTATCTCAGGGTTTAGTACTTTTCTGTTTCCCCAGTCCCTCTTGGAAATAGGTATTATCTGTCTGAAAATAGTGGGTTAGTGTAATTCTTTAATTTCATAAGCAGGCAGGGCAATGTTAGTGATTTACTGGAGAACTGGACCCAAATGTGAATGGAATTCTCCATCCTGTCTCTTAGAATTTCAAAATGTGAAGGGAGAACTTGAATCTTGGAGTCTGTTTCCCCATCCCTGATAGCATGATAAAATATTTCTATAGATAAGATTTTGTAATGACATTAAGAATTGATTACAGAAATGCAAATAAACCATTGTGCATTCTCTCCACAAGTACTTTCCAAATATCTTACAAGTGTGGACACAGCCTGTACCTCAAGATCCAAAGGCAGAGACAGTGTTATAATCCTGCATCTGGGCGTGTTGGGTGACAAGGACAGAGGGGAACTAATTATGCACTCCACCTCAAAATCACCAGCTCCACCAAGTTTCAGGCTCACGACAAAGCATTTCCTTATTTTCACTAGATATTTTCCAGTTGACAAAGTGTTTTCTCTTCCAGTGGAGCAGTGTGTCTGTCGTGAAGCTCAGCAGCATCACCTCCAGGTTTCCTTTGCCAGCCTCTTTCCTGTTCAGACAGGTGGTCATCTGTCATGGATGAAAGTGCTTTGCAAGCAGTTTGTCAAGACATGCAGAGTTGAACACACCCTGGCCTTCAGGAAAAGGACATCTCTTTTTACCCACAGAAACCACAGTTCCTAAACCAGCAGGATTTTCTAGACATTTTTTTTTCTACCTACTCTCTCCTTTTGCCTTCCTGGGGGAAGGCAGAAGAGCCAGAAAGCTGGTTCCTTCTTCATTTCTCGGCCTTCGTTTTGGAGATAGTCTGCCGGAGCCATCATCTTGGAGAGGTAAGAAGAGGAGGAGTCAAGGGAGGGTAGGGTTTTGCTTCCCTCTTGTTCTGCTGGCCAGGGCTCCTTGTCCACACAAACGGCTTGCTGCTGCCCTGCAGAGCAGTCTCCTGACTCGCATCAGAAACTATGAGGGTCTAGAGGAATGGGTCCTCTTGGTGGTCAAATGGCCCCTTCACAGGGGTCATGTAAGACCATTAGAAGACATGGATATTTCCGTTATGATTCATAACAGTAGCAAAATTACAGTTATGAAGTAGCAATGAAAATAATTTTATGTCTGGGGGTCACCACAGCATGAGGAACTATATGAAAGTGTCACAGCATTGGGAAGATTGAAAACCTCTGGTCTAGAGGAAGAGATCTCACTCCTGAACCAAACTAGGCTGGGTTTTCAGAGTAATGATTTTATTTGAACTTTGATCTAGTTCAACATTTTGGTGTTTTTTTTTTGTCATTTATCTGTTCATTTGTTTTTGTTATAATAATTTTTAATTTAACTTTTTACACTTGTTACTTCCAGTTCTCTCTCCCTCCCCTTCTCTCCTGGCCTCCCAATCCCCCCAAGCCCCCACTCCATCCCTGCTCTGCTCCCCAGGGAGGGTAAGGGCTTACATGATATCATCCTGGGCAGGGCCTAGGCCATCCCCCATGTGTCCAAGCTGAGAGAGCATGCCTCAATGTGGCATGGGCTCCCAGAGTCCATTTGTATGCCAGGAATAAATACAGATCTATTCTCCAAGGTCTCCTCTGTGACACCCAGTTTTGGGGGGGGTTGGATCAGTCCCATGCTGGCCTCTCAGTCATCAGTCTGGGATCCATGTGGTCCCCCTTTTTAGGTCAGCTGCCTCTGTGGGTTTTGCCAGTCGAGTTTTGATTCCTTTGCTAATCACTCCTCTTTGCAACTGGGTTCCAGGAATTCAGTTCGGTTTTTAGCTGTGATGTCTGCCTCTGCTTCCTTCAGCCCGTTTGTCTTTTTGTGGTTGGGTTACCTAACTCAGGATGGTTTCCTCTAGTGCATTCCATTTGCCTGCAAATTTCAAGATTCCATTTTTTTTTCTGCTGAGTAGTACTCCATTGTGTAGATGTACCACATTTTCTTTATCCACTCTTCAGTTGAGGGACATCTAGGTTGCTTCCAGGTTCTGCCTATTGCAAATAATGCTGCTATGAACACAGTGGGACAGATGTCCTTATTGTGTGATCACATCTTTTGGGTATATGCCTAAGAGTGGAATTGCTAGATCTTGTGGTAGACTGATTTCCATTTTCCTGAGGAATCTCCATACTGATCTCCCAATTATTAAATGGGACCTCCTGCAACTAAGAAGCTTCTGCAAGGCAAAGGACACAGTTAACAAGACAAAAATGGCAGCCCACAGAATGGGAAAAGATATTCACTAACCCCACATCTGACAGAAGGCTGATCTCCAAAATTTACCAAGAACTCAAGAAGAAAGTCTCCAAAACACCAAAGGATCCAATTAAAAAGTGGGATACAGAACTAAATAGAGAATTCACAATAGAGGAGTCTAAAATGGCTGAGACACTTGGTAAAGTGCTCAACATCCTTAGCCATCAGGGCAATGCAAATCAAAACAACTCTGAGATATCATCTCACTCCTATCAGAATGGCTAAAATAAGAAACATAATGACAATTTATGCTGGAGAGGATGTGGAGAAGGGGAACACTCCTTCACTGCTTGTGGGAGTGCCAACTTGTGCAGCCACTTTGGAGATCAGTATGCTTGTCTTTTTTTTTAGCACAATTCTTTATTGATTCTTTGGGAATTTCATATCATGGACCCCAATTCTACTCACTTCCCAGTCCCTCCATATCCACTCCTCACTCCTGCAGCTCCTCCATAAAAAATAATAAAAATAAAAACAAAGCAAAGCAAACCAGCAAAAAAACCCATCTCACTCCTTTACTTTTTCAACACTTCTTCATTCATCCTAGTGGCATTGGGAGCTTCAGTTTGTCACACATTAAAGCCTCTGTTCAACCAACCCCACCCACAAAATGTTCATTGTGATGGGTCACTGGTCTGGTTCAGGTCCTCTGGAACACCATCATCACTGGACCCTTACGGAAACTCCTCTCTAACATCCTGCTGTTGTCTTGAGTCCTGGAGGTCCTGCAGTTACTAGTCTACAGGACCAGTCCCTTCACACACTCCAGCCAGTCTTAGATGGAGTAGATGTTAGGGTGGGTCAACCCAAGGATGTGGGTCAGTCTTAGCCACTGGAACTGCCCCCCCTCAGGTGAGGAGCAGAGTTAGCTCTCCTACGCCCATGCCGTTGGAACCATCTCTCCAAATGTGATTCAAGGGCAGCAGGGGCCACCTCAAGTTGGTAGCCAAACTTGGCAGTGTCATCCATGTGGCGGGCTTTAGAGTTGTGAAGGATCCAGGAGGAAAGAGGCTGCAGAATCTCCCTCCTGGTTTAGGGAGTCACTGAGGCCTGATGTGTGGCAGGGGAGCCCATTATGTGAAACTGTCAAAGTGAAGCCTGTATTGTGTTGGAGACCTAAGAGGTGGATATATACCAAGGAGAATTGTGCAAAAGTATTAAAACCAGGATGAGGAGCATGTTCCAGGGGGCAAAGCTGAATTGCAGAGCCATCTAATCTCACTGACATCAGACATGGGGCTATAGGAACTGGAGTGTGCCCCTCTGGGTTTCAGTCTTGTTTTGGTCTAATATTTCCTCACTATTCCAGGTTCCTACCTTTCGGAATGGTAACGAATGGTCTGTGCCATTGTATGTTGGAAGTATGTAATTTGTATTTCATTCTGTGGGGGATTGTCAAGGAAATTAAAAGATGGTGCTTTGAGTCTCAGAAGATATGTTAGTCCTGGGAATTTTAAGTGGTATTGAGACTGAAAGACTGTGGGGACGTTTGGAGTTGGACTAAATGCATTTCGCACTGTGATAAGGACATGAGACTATGGGGAGTGGGATGTGGTGCCTTGAATGAGAACAACCCCCCATAGGCTCACATGTCTGAAGAGTTGGCTCCAGTTGGTGGAACTGCTTGGGAAGGATTAGGAGGCATGACCTTGTTGGAGAAGTATGCCACTAGGGGTAGGTAGGCTTTGGTGTTTCAAAAGGCATGCATCATTCCCAGTGTCTCTATCATCTCCTCCTACTTATGGATCAGTATGGAGCTCTTAGCTGTTGCTCTCACCAGGCTTTGCTGCACCGTACTGGACTCTAGCCCTCTGAAACTGTAGTCCTAAGTAAATGCTTTCCTTTAGAAGCTGCCTTGGTCACTGTGTCTTATCACGGCAGTTAAAAAATTAGACAGCATCTTTTCTATTTTTCTTCATGCAGAAAGCACAGTATTTTTGTGATAAAATTCTGGGTGTTTTTTTCTCTGTTCTGCCCACTCAGCTCACAGGCCTACTGGAGAGTCTTGCCGTGGGAGGGATTCCATAGGCTCTGGAACTTTAGGCTACAGTGCCATCTTTGGGACACAGCTGTCCTAACTGGATGCTTCCATTTGCTGATGAAGTCAAATGTGCAGTTGTAATACAGTGCTGTGAGTCAGCGGTCAGCTAGTCAGTCAGTGATGCTGAGGACTGAGATACAGGTGAACATCCCCTTACCTGCTTTGATTTATTGAAACACTTCCTTGGTGGCCTCACCTGCCTCTTATTTGTGTTGTAACAGACGTCGTGAGCGATTTCAAATTCACCATCAAGGATTTCAAAAATTTGGTTTATTTTCAAAATTTTATTGGCACGCGTTAATTGTTCCTAATAATGGTCTTAATTTGACGTTTTCATAAGATTCATAATGTGTTTTGATCACATTCACTTTCTCCAGTGCTCTCCTTTGTCCCCCTCCTTTGGTACTATTGGTCACTGGATTCTTGCCATGTAGTCATGCTACTGGATTCCTTATAAGGTGGAAAATGTGCAAATTACTTTGAGTCTGCTTGATTTTTCTTAACACGATGGAAAACAACTGTATTCATTTTTCTGAAAATGTTATTTCTTGGTTCTTCAAGGATAAATAATTCCCTGTTGAGTCTAAATGCCATCTATATATTCGAACCTTTCCAATTTTTCCATCATTCTCCTGTTTTGTTTTATCGTATTGAAATGCCCGTCCTAGTACTCCTTTGTTGGTTTCCTGTGGTTCATTCCCATGACTTGAACCTAAAGTGGCCCCTGAAAGCTCATGCATTGAAGGTACAGTTTTTAGCCTATGGATTTTGAGAACTGATTGGTCACTGTGGTTCTAATGTATCCATATACTTATCCTTGATGAAGTTGTAGCCGAATGGGGATTTATGGAGCCTGGTAGAGTAACTTTTTCCTTAGACAAGGACATGTTTTGTGTGTAGACTCTTCTATGCCTGACAGTCTCTAGCTGGGCAGCTCTGCTCAACAATACAGTCTTCACTGTGGTCCTCTGCTTTACCACTGAACAGGAGTCATGGAGCCACGTGACTGCCAGTCAAAGTCAATCTTTCCCTCTCTAAGTTGCTTATGACAGGTGTTATGTTGCTCTGATGAGACCCTGGCTAACACACTTCCACATGGAGTTAAAGGGCATTCTTCAGGCTGTCTTTCTCAGGTGCACATGGCTGGATATGGCTGGATTCTATTTCGTTATTTCTTCCTGAATCTGACTGTGAAGGCCTTAACGTCTAGCTCAATTTACTTTCCTGCTTCTAGCAAGTGGTTCACAGACAAATAAGAACAATGCTAAACAAACAAAAAGTCAACCAAACAGCAACATAAAACCACGTTATTCAGCCGGGCGGTGGTGGTGCAAAGCTGGGCAGTGGTGGTGCACGCCTTTAATCCCAGCACTCGGGAGGCAGAGGCAGGCGGATCTCTGTGAGTTCGAGGCTGGGCTGGACCGATAGCCTCCAAAACAATACAGAGAAACCCTGTCTTGAAAAACCAAAAAAAAAAAAACCACGTTATTCATGGGACTTTTTATGGTCACAATTCTACTCATAAAATTTTTATCTTTCTTAATC